GCAAATTCAAAATCATTTACTATGCCTTAGAACATGGTTTTCAAAGCATAATCCCAGGCGCAACAATACTGGTATCATCTGGGAACTAACTGGACCTATCCTTCCCTATTAAAAGCCTTGTATGGGACCCAGCAACCTCTGTTTTAGCAAGTCCCCCAGAGAATTCTGATGCACATCCAGTTTGAGAACCATTACCTTAGAACCTGCCAGTATTATTGCGCAATAAAAAGAATCCTTGACTTAGAGTCGGGAAAGCTAGGTTTACACCCAAGAATGGAACGAGACTGAGTTACATGGATGTGGGCTGGCTCATACTCTTACCAGTCACATCATTCTTCCTGAGGAGGAATAGGGTAGGGGAAAAAAAACTGGCCTTGTCAGTAACCACTGTTATATTACCTGGAAGCAAGATGACTTCCATCTTACCCCATATGCTGATGCACAAAAGCATTCTGTAGAATTTGCTACTAGCCCCTGAATCCTCAGTTCATGAATCCTCAGAACCAGCCAACCCAAAGAAGAGCAGATGGAATTTTAGTTCTTCTATTCTTAGAAGAGAATTGAACAAGACAATGAGACAAATAATGCAGTCTTCTTTCTTATCAGGGAAGCCAGTTTCTCCCCCACAATGCCACCCACCCTGCAAGAGCATTTGACTTTCTTACAAAATTTGTCATTGTCCAAAATACTATAAATGATCCATCCCTGCAGCTACAAATACAACTTCTACATCTTCCCCTTTGATTTGGATGGCTCTTCCCATCGTAACCATAAACCGCCCACATACGACACAGTGTTTCAATAAACGCTAAGTGATGCAAGATGCCCCATTTCAATATAATGGGTTTCTTAATGAAGCCCATCACTAAACAAAGCAATAGCAAAATTTTGTAGAAAACAAATAACTTCACTTTGCCCAAAACAAACTGTCTTATGAGGTGAATGTCTTTGGAAACTCTTTGAATGGTTAGGAACGGGACCAATGAGATGAACCAAAAACAGTAAACCTTAAATGTCTTTCTGGTGTCGGAATTGGCAAAGAGCTTTGCTTGTTGAGAAAATTCACGCTGAACCACTTAATGTTCTCTGGAATTGCTTTCTAATAGAGTTTTATCTACACACTACAGGGGGGTTATTGTTTAGAAATAAAATTATGCTCATTTCTCCCAGAAGGAATTTCTCCCAAAAGGATTGGGGGTGTTGGGGGGGGTGCTCTTTAGGAATTTTAGTTACTAACTACATATATGGGTTACTTTAATCTGAAACTGGGCATGTTTTAATGACCTCATAATTATTGTGAGAGAACATGTTGGAAATCTTATCTTTTATTCCTTCAGCCATTAATTCACACACAGGTATGGTGTGACTGTTCAGTACAAGCCCATAGGGTCTCCTTTAAAGAATTCATATTGGATAGGTTCTCCTGGTTTATTTATTTGGGGAAAAAAAAAAACACATGAACCAGTGACCACACCAAGTTCTGAGATACAATGGTGAACTAGACAAACTAAAGACTCAACATGTAGCAGAAACTTATTTCTTCTACCTCCTACCTTGTCTTTTTTCTGGAACTGCCAATTGTAGTATCCTTCTCTTGTCCCATTAGCATAGTCCAAGGATTGCTATCAAAGTGTTTACATCTTTCTGTTAATCTATACCCACCATCAAACCCTTCAATTCTCATTGCTTATTTTCTAGTTTCTCAAAATCTCAATATGGACTTACATTCTCTTACAACTTCCAAGTATTACATGCCACAGTCAGAATCATATTTGCCCTTTCTTTGACCACATTATCATATTTTCAAGCTTCCCAGAATACATTCTGTGTTGAAAAATGTTGCTGTACTTTTACCACTTAAACTGGGGCGCTGTAGTAAAACCACTTGCATACTTGTTTTATCCCACTCATCTTCCGCCCTGAATAGCTTCTGAGTTTTTTAAAATCATGCAGGATAGCAGAGTCCACAGGGTAGAGTCTCGATAACTAACATGAAGAGTGTCACTGGAAGGCATGTTACAGACCATCTAGTCTGAGTCTTCTCTGCCTTAGGTGAGAAAACTGAGAGTTTGAGATATAGTGGGCTAATGATGGTACACATTGGCAGGTAGGGCTAGAATCCACATCTTTTGACTTCTGATCTTTCTATGTAAACCTGCGGCCTCAAATATAATACTCTGACAAACACCTCAGAAGTATTTGTTTTATCCACAATCTCATTGGACTTTTTCACTTGGACCTGGGCTTATGTGCTAACCTGCCAAAACATCTTTATTTAGGCACTCTTTAGACATTCTTTTGTTTATCCATTATTGAATACATGTGTATTCACTGCCATGAATATATAATCACCATATATGAAATGTGGGTACATGTTACAAATACAGAGTATGTGGTCTGTGCTCTCAAGGAATCTACTGGGATTGCAGGCAATTATCTAGTAAATAAACATGTAATTACAGGGTTAAGTGCTATGAAATACATAAATATCATGAAGTGACATGCGGTGATGTGGAACTGTAGGATGGCCAGGAAGGGCTGAGGGGTGACATTTTAGCCAAGAACAAAAGAATCAGAAGAGCACCTTTTGTGTTACTTTCTCCCTCGACTACAATCCTTGGTCCAAGCTATTAATGTAGCCATGAAACAATTTCCCATCCACCATTAACATTGTAGCCTACCTGCTATTGAATTTTTTGTTTGAGATCCACTTTTTTAAAAATAAAATCTTCTAAGTCAATCCCATTATTGAAAATTCTAATAGTGCTTCCCTCCTTCAAGTTCAAATACTGGCTAATTCCCCCAACACCCATAACTGCTTAATTGCTAAGAATACATTTCTATGGTTTATATTGCTATTTTCTAAACTCAGGACAGAGGGCCTACTGTTTAGTACTTATTCGAGACACCTACTAAAGAATTGAGCAAACACTTTATAAGTAGAAATGCCCAAGGTCTCAATCCTAAATGTCACTGTAGCTTTTTTTTTTCTATAGCACATATCTTTGCGTCCTGAAAAGACCAGAGGATATCACAAGATTTTCTAAGTTGTTTCTTATGTTTAAGAAAAACTTTCATTTATTTGGTTGTCAAACATTCAGTAGCCAAATGTCAAGCACTGAGCTAGACATTGAAGGTATATGAAGATGAATAAGACACAACCCATTTCTGACCAGTGGAGAAAAACATATAAGTCTAATTAGGGTTCAGGGAAAGGAGCTCAGAGAAGACTTTACCAACCAAGAGGAGTCTTGAAGGATGATAAGCACTTCCAAACAGATGAACGGTAGAGCAGGGAGAGCATAACTGCACATAGCACCATGCTGCACACTGTGAAACAAGTTAAGTGGATGTGACCTTTGACCTCTAGAAATTTCACATCAAAGGAGAAAATGATGCAGGTTCAAGAGTCAAAACGTAAGTTAAATAAATACGGTCATTTTAAATGAAAATGAACAATAGGCTAACAAAAGGGCAGGTGTTTTGCATGAGCATTAGTCAAAAGGAAATTAAGGAAGGATTTTTTCCAGCTGGGAATTGCTAAAGCATTTCAGGTGGTCGTGCTAGCCAGTACGCTTTCTGAAAGAGGATTTATTTGTTGACTCAAATTAAGCAACTGGGATTGATTGGTTTCGTTTTGTTACTGTGCCTACAGATCATCTCTAATTACACTTTCAAAAACTAAGTACCTGCTTAATAAAGACAAATATGAGATGTTAAATTGGAATGTACCTTCCCAAGGCAATCTAAATCCTCTAAAGATAAATTTCCTCTAAATCCTCTAAGATATTTTTCAGGTACAGTAGGCAAAAGGAATTCTGCTAGAATCTGTGAGTTTGTGCTTAAGTGGTCAGTATTTTTATTGTTAATGCACAAGATCTCTTGTGCTTTGATTTTTTCCTTGACCATCTAGTTTTATTTTACAGGTTTGTGATTTTCTAACTTTCCATCATTGTTTTCCTTAACTTTTCTAACTTTGCTTCTTTATAACTGAGAAAGGACAATTGATTGATCATTGTCATATTTCTGGTAGAGAAGAAAAATCCTATAATGTGACCATAATTCCAGAAGGCATCTTTCTGATAAAAGTCAGTTGGAGAGTTTTATCAAGAAGGAAGGTCTCCATCTGTAGAATTTGTTGCATTTTTTTCCTGGGTAGAAAATTCTACCCAAGATAAACTAAATACAAAGTCAATTACACACAGACACAAAGCTTATTAATACACATAGGAAATAAATATAGGAGCTTAGGGAATAAGTGGTGTTACTTGGTAATGTGGAGATTCTCAGTTATAGTAATATTTCATCTTGCGGAGTTTGTTTATTCAGTCACCTCAGCTATCAGAAATGCCTTCACCAACCAGAAAATGAGTACTGCTGCTACTGATAAAATATGGAGAACCAAAAATTGGAAGTAGAGCTCTTGCAGTTACTCAGGCCCTCCCCTTGCATCTGTTCACACGTGTAAAGCTCTCTAATATCCTTGATCTCAGACTTTCTAGAACTCTGCAAACGAGAAGTGAAAATATAGAACAAATTAAGGAAAGACACCAGAAAGGAAATGGGAGGTGTTTAACATGCTGGTAATGAGGAAAAAAGAAAGACTATTATAGTAAGGGAAATAAAAATTCAAAAACCATTCTCCGAGGCCATGTCACTTTATTAGTTACTGGAATTGGCAGAAAAGTACAGTCTGCTCTATGGAATCATACTATTGACTGAGGAACGTGGGATATTTCAGTCTGCTTTTTAAAAATGATTTCATATTTACTGTTATTCTTAGGGGGGATAACTTCAGTTTGGGGAAAGATTTGTGTGTGGGGAAAAAAACACCCTTATTTGTGTTAAACGTGCTGGGTGAATGGTGTTGGAGTGTCACCGTTGGCACTGCCGCGGCCTGTCTGCATGCGCTTGTGAGCGCTGGCTCGCTCTCCGTGTCTTGGCTACAACCTTCTGGCTAGTCTACTTGTTTCTTTACCTGTCTCTTTCTCTCTTTCTAGCCGGAGACCACCCCCATCACCAACTCGTCCCACTATAATACGTCCACTAGAATCCTCCCTGTTAGACTAAAACGAAGTGTCTGGCATGGCAATTAATTACTAATGAGTTATGCGAAAGCAACACATTTGATAAGCGCTGCAGTAAATCATGAGTGTCGCATGTGGGACATCAGTAGGCAAGTAACCCGTTTCACTAATGCGTTCATCACTCATCTCCATTGCTCATGATGTGTCAGACCTCGGGGGTTTGACTCTTGAAAACTGCTGAACCATCAAGGCTTTCTAGTTGAATTGACCAAGGTAGGTTTGTACCGCAACCCTACACTTTGGGGAACATTTGCCTACTTGGGCATATGTTTGGAGTTGCTTTGGGCAAGCTTCCCCGGTTACCATCAGGTAACCTATTAAATATAATTTTTCAGTGATATGAGGTGGTGGGCTTGCATCAACTAAGCCATAAGTATTCTCCCACATTCCACTTTGGCCGACAGAAATTATGTTGGCTATTACTAAAGTTTCTGCCTGCCCCATGATTACCTATGTATTAGTTACTTTCTCCTTCCTTTTTATTTCAGGAGACTGCTAGGAAGTGATATTTTTAAATTAGGATTCCTTAAGATTAAACTTTTCCAGAAGCACAAGGTAGTTTACAAAGGAAAAGTTAATGCGTTGCTCGCTCTAGAGAGCTTCTCATGCAAATACGTTTTTGCTTCATGCTAGAAGCATATTGAACAGCGAGTTGAAACATTGTTTTGGTTTTTTTTTTTTTTTTTTTTTGGTACTCTGTCGGTTTGGCTAATTAGCTTCAGAGTTCAAGGAAGAAGCAAAACATCACATCTCTGAAAGTATCTGGGAAAAATGTAATTTCTTTATTCACTCACATTTTCAGCTTCTTGTAGTTACAGTGAAGGCTGACACAGAAAATATTTAACTTTTCATAATGATCTAATTTTATGCATGACTAACTACACTTTGACACTAACTCCAGTTTATTTAATTTATTTGATTGGAGCAAAAGTATTTCTCTTTCCATGCTAATATGTAATTCCCTTATGTAAAAAGTTATCCTCCCTTTAAAACAGGCATAATATAACTTTTTCTCCACTCTAGACTTTCTTAATAAATCTTGAGCCTGACCATAGTAAGGCAAACCTATTTAAAGAATGGGACCTGGAATGGAAAGAAAAGTCATCTAGTAGAGACGCCGTGATTTAAAAGCAGAGCTATGGGTTGTACAGTTGTACAGCTTCAGGTCTTCATCCAGGTCATTCCTGAGACCAGCATTAAGACAGACGAAAGCAAATTGGTAATTTCTAACATTTCCAAAATTTACAAAAGCAGTTTAGCCAGGGGGTTAATAGTTCAGCCTTGAGACTGAGTTTTGGACTACCTAGCACCGGGCGATTAGCATGTAGGAAACAGCCAGAAGCCAAGAGGGATTTTGTCTGCTAACTGTTCCCAGACAGCAGACCAAGCACTCACTGAGCAGCGGCGTCCCATGACGCTGGTTCATATTGTACAGAAGTACTTCAGGTTTCACCAACAGGAATGTCTCCCTTTGAAAGCAGCAAACATGATTTGTATGTTAACTTTAATTTCCTGTGCAGTTTATACCCACAGCAGACACCCATAAAGTATGAATTAAAAGCTTTTAACCATTATTAAAAAGAGAACTTGCCAAGTTGAATGGCATTGTATTGAACCTACTCTAAAGGGTTGTAACTAGCCCACTTATCATAGGCAAAAATCAGAGAATACAAGATTTATAAAGGAGCACTTCACCTTTTAAGTTAGAAGTGATTTTATAAAGAACACCACCCTGAATCACCTCATATATTATTTTTCTCATTGGAGGAAATAAAATTGAATCTTTGAGAATGGAATGGATGTGCAAGATACATACTGCATTTTAAAACAGGCTCGCAGCTAAGTGGAAATATGTTAAGTAAACATCTAGAGTAAAATGAAAAATATACAGTGAGATCTTTCATACAATTCTCTCTTTTTTAGGATTCCCTTTGCTTCTTCCTTTGAGTTCTCTAAAATAGGCAGCTAATGGAATATATACTTCAGGGTTTGGCTTTGTGCTAAATGTGGTTTTGCGTTTTGCTGTATTTCAAAATTTCCTTCTGTTAAAGGAAAATATTTTGGATAACCACTGGGGCATTCTTAGATCAGCACAAACCATGTCAAAGAAAACTGGAGATTTTTTTTTCCAAGTTTCTTTCCACTGACCTTATGCAGTCATAAACAGTGGCATTTGTCATCTTTGGCTTTTGCTCTCAGATTGTAGTCCCACAGTTTCATTGTCCCATTCGTCTCTCTTTGTGGTGCATTTTTGTTCTCTTTTACCTCCAAGTTATTTCTAGTAGAACCCAGCTTCCCCAGGGAATGCAGCAATCATTTTGGAGAATATTTTCAGTTTGCTGCAGTCCTCTATCATAGTAATAGTATGAGTCTCATTTCCCAAAGGATTTGCATCCTGCTAAAAGGAGATGTCGGTGTGAATGAAGATGGAAGATCTAAGATATGTGTAGTTTGAAGTGCAGCATTCATATAAGGGCTTACGACAGGAATGTAGCTTATTGAATTTTCTAAGCATATCCTGTGTCACTTCTATTCTTTGGTGTGACTTCCTCTTAACTGATTTCTCTGATGTTAGCTACATAATTAATGTAGCCTCATCATGTCTAGTATAATAAAACAATACATAGAGTGTTCTTAGGATTTGGAATAATAAAGTATATGTATTTATTTGCCAGGTCAATCTATTTTATTGTCACATGCTACATCTTGCATGCATATTGACTATTTGGAATAGCCATTTATTTCATTGTGGACAGATTATTGAACTAGTATTGATTTAGAACTGATATATTGAATTTCTGGGAATCACCTACCAAGATAACTCTCCTAAATATTGCTTTTAGCTGTGTTTGTAACATAGAAGAGCAATAGGGTCTGTTTATTAGCAAATTGCCTAGGTGTTCAGATACAAACTCATTGTATTCCAAAACATTACAATGAAATGTTTTGTGATATAAAAATCTTCTGAAGTTAGAATTTAAAAGTAGCCATATAGATTAATTTTGACATTTGACTATAGACTGTAGCCATAATTCTCAAATATTAAATGGGACCTAATACCAGTATGTGATAAATGTTCACATTTTCTATGCATGTGTCTCTGTGTATACAATATATGCATAGTAAATTCATTCCTGTAAGTATATGTATGCCCCTTTGGGTAGGTAGGTTTAAAAACACTTGTTAAAATGCCACAAGCATGCATCTAAGTGTATGTGCTTTGTATATATATGTATATGTATGGGTATGAATATGTATACATGTGGTTTGTATCTGTGAGTATTGATATATTTTTAAAATTGTGCTAATAACAAGAAGTAGCTTTGGAAGATCTGCCATAACATCATAACAGTGGTTCATTTCTGATAGTGTACATGAGATGTACAAAATTTTCCACAGATAGTATTCATCTGAGAGGCACAAAGCTCAGAATTACCATGACAATAAGGTAGAGCAAAATCCACAGGCATTTGTATCTAAAGCCACAGTACTGCTAAGAAGAAATTGCCTCTGACACTAGAATTTGATAAGAAGTATAAAATCTAGGAACTCACCTTTAAGTTCTCTGATTAGAATGATTAATTATTCTTGGATTGCTAAATTGAATCATAAAAAGCTAATCTGGTCTAGACAGTCATTTTTTCTCTGTGGTAAATGTCAAAAAAGTAAAATAGAGGAATACAGTAATGTAATCAATGTTGTGGATTGTTCTGAGTAAAGTTTCTAAAACTCGAAGGACAGCATTACTTAATGCCATGGAGGTAGATCATCCATTGACTCTTACAGGTAAAGATTTTTCATTTTGCAAACTGTATTTGAATTTGACACCATTTGAAAATGACAGATATCTCCATTACATTCAGATTTAAAACTTGCTAGTAGGTCTCTGAAGTGTAGAACTTGATGATATAAGATAATATATGAAACTCAAGCCATGAGTTTTGTATCATTTCACCAAGAGGACTGCTAGCTGGGAACTCAGAGTTTAATGTGAATGAAGAGATTTTAGAGAAACAATGATTAGGTCACTAGATTACTTAATTCTTTCTTAAAACCTCGAAGTTGTCTTCTAGAAAATTTTAAGTCATCCTGTCTAGTTGGCATGTTTAAAATTATGTGGTGCTCTGTATTGTGAAATTAAGATATTTTGAGGTATATGTAGCATATGCATGCTATTTGTATATAGATGTAAGAACGTGTGTGTGTGAGAGCAAGAGAGAGGAAACTCAAGGAAGAGTCTCCCGTTTAAGATTTGTTCATACTGGTATATTGGTGACAATTCTTACCTCTTGGGTATGGGGTTTTATACATGACTCAGCTCAAGGCATTTCTTTTTAATTTTCACCCTTGAGTTCCTTAAACTTTGCTCATTATATAATGTTTTTAAAAATGATGATAAAATTACTCTGTCTAACTTCTTGTATTGTCTGTTGCCAATTTGATAAAATTATTCCTCCCAACCAGAAATTCTACCATTACTTGATTTGTGTTTAATTTTATATGTACAGCCTGGCTTGCTTGTATGTTTCTTTTCTATCCCTTTTCTGAATCAAATTCCTCTTTTACTTTTTGTATGAAGAAAGGGTATACAAAAGCAAAAATCTTGTCATCTCTGTTGATTCCTTAATGAATTTGGGCCAGAATACTTTCCACTGTCTTGGCACTTTCAGGATTTCTTAATGCTGATTTACAGATGGACTCTGTGAGTGGAGTTTTTGAAGCAAGTTCCTAAAGCCTGTATCATTCTTGAAAGTCACATGTACCTGTTGTGAAAATGTGATGCTGTATTTCTGAACCTGAAATAAACTATAACATTTGAAGGACTCCCCCTTCCTCATTCTTGTATATATTTGAGTCATGTCCGTGCATTTCAGAAAGACGTGAGAGTTGTAAAACTTGTAACTCTTTTGATCAAATTGGCCCTGAAATGCCAATATAGAGGATGGTAGCATTTGGTATTAGTGTCATTAATTTGGGGAAGGGTAAGATTTTTGAAGGAAGCAAACTGGACAGATCAAAGGCAGGAGAATGGAAGACATTTTACTCCTGATTTGAAATCATTGCTGACTAGGTTAAAAAAGGACCCCAACCTTCTTACACCTGAAGGGGGTGGTATAACACTTGCCAAGAGAACTGTAACATTTGGCCATTGATAAGGAAGTGTTCATGAAAAACCCTAAGAAGTAGAAGGAGGAAGGCTGCTCTGCTGAAATGTTAGGTCCACAGAAGGCATTTCTTACAGAGAATAATTGGGTCTCCGTGTATATTCTTTAGGGATTAGGGGGAGAAATGACTGCTTTCACTGTCCCTAATATTAAGAGAATTGAAGTGTTCAGTAGTTGCATACACTCTTATCCTGAGTTTCCAGAAAATAGAGAAAGACTCTTCTGTTAAAATGGTAATACATTCAGACTCCCAGATGGTGCATCCAAAAGCAGAAAACAATAGGGAATGAAATCAGGGAAAGGATGTTGGTTTATTCTCGCTCTGTGTTCAGGACACACTCATTGTGAAAAGATGCATTGGTAAGATTTGTGTAAGCTCATGCTTTCCCATTGTAATTTCTTTCTCATCTGTATATCTTCTGTCAGTAAAGTCATACATCTTCAAAGAAAACATCTTATTGGAAGAGAGAGACAGGATGAGAATGTGCTGTCCACTTGTGTTGTATTTTGTGTGGGTATATGAATGTATATTTCACTGCATGATTCTATATTCAGACATTTCTAATGGAAATCGCCAAAATTAAAGGAACTTATTCAACTATGTGGCACATTTCCATTTGTATTTTTAAAATTGTTCTGGCATCATTATAGATGTCTGTTCAATTTGTTTTCTCAATTCTGTTCTTCTGCTGGGATCTTTACATTTCATACTGAAAAACAGATCTGCTGTTTGGGCTAGATGGACCTCATCTCCCACTTCCTAGTGGCATTCCCACTTTTAAGATCACTGGTTGGTGTTCTTTCGCCCTGGGGCAACCTAATAATTGGAATGCATGCAAGAGATGTTGGCAAAACCACAACCTTAATTCAATGTTCCTCAAAGTGCATTCCATGAGATCTTAATGTTTTACACACACATACACCAAAGTTTTCTTGATTAAATATACTTGGAAATGATGACTAAAAACAACATGATTCTTTATAGAAGTTTTATTATCAGATTGCACTGTGAATCTCCCAGAGAAGAGTATCTGTGTTTCTCAGACTTTTTGACCATCCATACTTTGTTCAGGGAGCACCTTAGAGGACTGTTGTTTGGAACCGCATACCTTAGGAAAGTGCTTCATTGGTGGTGGCGGGAGAAGGTACTGAGAGTGACTATCCCAGCATGCACTGTCGCTAGCACAAAGTTGGATGAAGTCAAGCTATCAGACCTCTCAAGGCAGGAGTCTTCTGGCACTTTGGTGCTTTGTCACAGGGTCTGATCCAAGGAGGAAGGTCATATGGGAACACAGGCACAAAAGCTGACTAGGGACAGACATGCAGAGAGTCTTAGTGAACTTTTGGAGGGTTTAGATAATTTTAAATATTTTCTCTCTCATGCTAAAACACACACACACATACACACACACACAAACCACACACACAAAGGAACACCTTTAAATGAATCACATTACCCCCAGTATGTTATAAAGGAAGGAATCCATAATGATGTAAAATTAAAGCTCACCAGAGAAAAACTGAGAGTCCTATTCTTCCTGTCTTTCTTGTCTCATTTTCCCAAGCCTTTACGCTCTGGGACCTTAGGTTACCTGAATGATGGGTGAAGAAAGCAAGCAGGAAATGTTTGTGAGATTGTAGCAGAAAAGATTTATATGAAAGACCTTCTGAGGGACCTCGCCTAAGAAATGTTATCATAAGACCAGATTGCAGTATTGAGGGAGAGCCAAGAGAATGTGGGCAATTCATCATTATTATTAATAACTGAGTCATTTATATATATATGAATTATGCCCATACACCATACCCAGTATTCCCTGCCTCTTTATCTTCCTGTTTTGACCAAACAATTCTACTATGAAGTAATTTTTCCAAAAGCTTAAGAAAGCATTGCCTGAAATTATAATCTCAATGAGATAGATTTGCTTTATGATAAATATTAGTATAATGAATGAGCTTTAAAACTTATTAGCAACTCAGTATTCCAACTCAGCACCGCAGCTTTCCTGTTGGAAGTGGCAGTAGTTTGAGCTACCTTGGTAGCATTTCAGATTAAAAGACCAAATATTTTCAGCTCTTGCCATTAAACACGTCAGTGTTATGTAATAATATAAAAAATTCGGGGGGGGGTGGAAACAGTAAAAATCCAATTGCCGGGATCCACGATAGAATGAACTCTGAGCCACTACACGGTGTCATCCACAGCAGTGCTTTTGTGAGGAGAGGAAATTTAGCTACATAGGGAGTAAGTGAAAAGAAGAAAGTGGCTGTCTGAGGGGCTACGTGTCACTCCGATGTCTGAAGCAAACAGTCCAGCTGTCGGTGAAATATGTTCTGAGACATAAAGTTTCTGATCCTGTTTCTGGATTAGAACACCAAACAGGAAAGTGCTTTGGCATCTGCTAACAGAATGTCCCTTCAGCACTGTGGACTTGTGTTCAGTTTAATGCCTCACCTCCCCACCCTGCTGAGGTAATTAAAGTGTTCCAAAGCCCCTTCAGAACTCAAAAATAGTTTCTGTTTGCCGGGCAGGTGATAAATCTCATTGAGCCTGACAGGAATTTAATTACACTTTCTTCATGAAAACACCAGGGATACCCATTACCTGGATCTCTACAGCTAAAGGCTTGCAGACCCCCCGCAGTTGAAAGGTTACGTACCAATAACAAGTTCTCCATCATTTAAATGGATGGGAGGCCTCCTTAGGGTAGCCAGCTTAAATCAGACCAAAGAAAAATTGGTCTTAGACTTTGGGGAAAGTGAGATCGTTGTTTACCACTGCTCAGAAATAGCCCAGTCGGTTTGGCTCCATTAATATCTCATTGAAGATGAAAAAGAAGTTTGTTTTTGTTTTTGTTTCTTGTAGACTTCATTGCTCCACTCACTGAAGTGTTACCAGAGTAAGATGGAAGTGAGTATTTGTTGATTCCTGGGATAAGTAGCCAAAGATGTCCCACCAAGAGGAGGGCTCTGAGCTAAAGGACCACAGAGTTCTATGGCTTGCCATAATGTTGAGGTCATTGCCGATTTGGTTAGAGAGAGGAAATTGAAATACAGACTTCCGCTAGAAACCAGTGGGAAAACTTCACTTGGCCTGCTGTTTGCCTTCTTAAGGGGGTGCAGGGTGTGGGGGCTCATTGCCATTTGGCGTTTACTGTATCTTCCCTGAGTGGCAAATTGTGCAAATTGGCTGAGGTCCAAAATGAAGAATGATGCTGGACCTGGCAAGAGGCCACCAGGCGAGGAGTAGGGAAAAAGGTGCAGCAAACCCAATGTCATTTACCATGGACCCCATTCAAAATAAATGAAAATTGCAGTTGCACCTAACTCTGAGACCGAGGGAAATCCCAGGGTCACCATGGACCAGACATAGCTTTCTAGTTTCCCTGGTCCTGGAAAGCTATCACATCAGGAGAAAGTTCTTATTCACAAGTCCTTGTCTCCAAGGTCAACTTCTGCCATTTTCTGCATGATGATTCCCTTGCTCATTTGATCTCTTGACACCTAATTTCCTTCACCTTAAAAATATTTCTCTACTAACTCCCGCTCCCCCTATGAAGATTTCACATTTATTGAAATTGTTGGAAGTAACTAAATGTCACAAAATTGGGGTTGGGAAACAATTTACTCGAATTGTAAAGGTATTTGGCTCTGGTCTTGTTCTTCGTTCTCCTGAATATGACTGCGTGGATTTATCACTCCATGGTACAAAAACAGTAAAATTTTGTAGTGGGCTCAAATGAGTCACACCTGGCACTGCTGGTCTCAGGAACAGCCCTGAGAACTGCTGACTCTGCCACGTGGTGTCCTCTCATTTCCCCGCATGTGTGCATGTTTTGTTTTTGTTTTTGTTTTTATTGTCTGATTGAATTTGACTTTTGTGGGATGTTTTTGCATGCTCTTATTTGGATTTATTTTATAATTTAGACATTGTTTTCTCCCTCTGCATCTGTGTTTTTTTTTTCTTTTTGTTATTTTGTTATGTTTTGTTTTCACTAGGAGACCCCCTCCTGCAGTTCCTGGACGACCATCCTAACCCCCATCATTCATCTCCTTTTGTTTCCAACAACATGTCCACCCATGGTATTTATGTCTTTCATTTGCACTAGATGTCATGTGTACATAAAAGCTTTATTTTTGATCCATGTCTATAATAAAAGGTTTATTCTATATAAAAAATGAAATACCTTGTTTCTTTCTTCTAAAGAAGACAAACTAGAGCAAGAGTTTGTTTCCACTAAAACCAGGTAAGGTGAAAAATTCATAATTTTTTTAAAAGATTCATTGTATTTATTTATGCATACAAGAGCTGGGGTGTAGGCCAGAGGTTTCAGGGAGATGGGGGTGATGAAAGGATTCACCAGAGAGAGAGTAGGGAGCAGAACAGGCAGATCTACTGAAATACACTGCTGAGGGGAGCAGCCAGTGAGACAGGAAAGGTCTGCTGTGCCATGTGGGTTAGCTCCCTGACCCGGGATCAAACTCCCGCTACAGTGGCTGTGGACAGCTTCATAGTGCTGAGACTTAATCCCTAGTTCCACCAGGGAGGCCCTGAAAAATTCATAATTTTAAAGAGCTAAAATGGAAAAGATTGATTTTAAGTTTTTTGAGCATTGCAATTTAAGGTCTTTTTGGTAGAAAATGATAATCTATCTTCAACTGAAATGTCTGCTAGAAGAGTGAAAAAAATGTAGTAAAACCTATGAGTGAGTAGAAAAGACACAGAAGACTAAATATTTTCATCCTGCCTCTGGGAATCCCTTTGTAGGTCTGAAACATAAACCTCACACATTCTATTTGGAAAAGCCAAAGAGTGGGGAGGGGAATTATATCATTCATAAAAAAAGTACAACAAAGCAAGGAAATGTAGCCACATTGAGAAGATTCTTAGAGATGCCAGTAAAGCACTGGAGAAATAAAATCTATATGAGTATAGGTGGAAAAAGAAGACTTTTATATACCTTTATCCACAAAGGGTAATTCCAACACTTCAGCTTTAAGCTACCATTCCACATGTATTTAAAATATATTTATATATATATCTTTCAACAATGTATTCAGATAAAATATTTATTATTAAAATCATTTAGGGCATCTTCCCAAATATGTGAAGGCTTCTCAAAGGTTTGTGATGTAATTTAGAATTCTTTTTGAAGATTTATGTAATCAAACGAGAATCTGAAAGTATCTTCTGGCGGATGAGATCACTTCTGAATGTGCCTCACTTTAGCATATTAAGACAGAAAACTCCATCTCAGGAAAGTAAAGGAAATGTTCATTGGGAAATACTCCAATTACTTCGTGTAATTCTTGTCCTAGGCAAGAGAGGGACCAGCGAAGGCGTGGCAGGACCCCCCAGTTCTAAATGCTCTTTGGACCATAAAATTCTTTTGAAGGAAGAGCTCTGCTTTCCACTCAAAAATGCAAACCCAGTTTATTTTTCAGGTTAAGAATTTCATAATATGTCACACCGATGACCACTGACTGCAGTCAAATGCTGGACGATCCCCAAAAGCTCAGGTACACCCGAGGCTGGAGTTGATGTGCCAGGACGTGATGCACGCAGGCTCAGCCCTTCCACTCACCTGCAGTTCAGGCTTTGATATTTTGATCAATCTTCCTATTGGGTAGATTTGTATCTGATTGCATTTTCATCCCAGCAGACCCAATGCTCCTTGATTATTTCATCCCATCTCCCAACACAAAAACAGAGGTTGTTGGTGGGAAGCTTTTACCAATTCATCTTTAGGTACTTTTCCATAGAGTGGTATGCAGTGTAGATGTTGAAAACTTAAAATTTAACTTTTGAACAATGAGAAGGGAAAACTCAATTCTTTGAGGAATGAAATGACTCACTGGCAACCTTATTATGTCTCCTCAACAAAGAATTGTCATCCCTTCCTCATGTTCTATAGTCTAGAAAAAGGGTATAAGTAGGGGCATTAAGGGAAGGAAGCAGCCCAGAATAAAATCATACCATGCCAAGGTTTGTTTACTTATTGTTTATAATGTTTTTATATTTCATAATGTACCCTTCCCCAGCTCTCTCTACCTCCACCTCCACCCTAAATCTTCAAAAGAGTTGAAAAAGTCCAGCATGCTTCAGTCGCTCATAACTCAGGATTATCGGGAGGAACAACTATGACTTTAATAAATATGGTATTTGGTAAAAATACTCCTCATTTTCTTTAGGCATCACTTTTTGAATTCATAATACACTCATTACTGCATGTACCAAGAGAGAACAGGATCAGAGTTGCTTACAAAATAGTTAAATAAGTGATAATGGTCTCCTGCTATGACAGAAGTAAATGGGGGCAAACTGTTACAGACTTTCAGTGCTGAAGCTGCTATTTGAGTTTTAGAGCCACGTGACCCAACACAGGCTAACATTCTAGAGCTTGGCGATTTTGACTTGTGACAAAGAAACCAACAACAGAACTCATTTCAGCCAATCAGAAGCCAAATTTTTCATAGCTAATGGAATTTTTCATAGTATAATGTAAGACCCTAAATTATTTAGGTATTTGTTGAGAAAAAGACAGAGCTGAAGTCATCTGTTAACTTTATTTGGTTAAGAAGACAAGAAGACTAGAATCAGAAGGTGCTCTGTAGCTCGAAATATCTGGGATATCCAAAAGATGGAGAAAAGAGAATTAAAGGTAGGAGAAAACAAGCAAAACTCCCAATTCTTTCTTTAGGGGTTTCACTGGTAAGTAAATGTCTATGAGCCTTGGGAATCACTATACACGGAGGAGTATTTCAACAAACATCCTAGAGGTTGAAAACCCCCAAAGGAGATAAGGAAAAAACTTTTGCTGTTTCTTTGCAGAGATGGATACTCTCAGTGGGTTTAGAGTATGATGTATTTCAATCCTCCTGATCCTGGAGTTTAAAAAATGTTGTACTTGCCAACATCTGTTTTATAACTCAGCATTAAGCATGATTTAAAAAATTCCTCAGAAAATTGATATTGGATTATTTAATCCAGTTCTGCGAGATTCTGAAGGAAATTTTCTCAGTTGTGCACTCATTTTAAAAACAAGAACCTCACTCATAGAAAGTTAAAATTGCTGAAACAGAATGAAAACTTCTGTATCCCTTTATAATACTGCAGTGTCTAATCTGAATAAATCACAGGGTGCTTTTGACTCCCCCAGTTAATGGGACAAACCAGCTGCCTCCATTCCCATAACATACATCCACACTCATTTTTAAATATATACACGTTACTATTGAACAATAATCCTATCAAAATACAAAGGTCAGATTAGGAGGCAGGCTGTTGGATAAATCAAGAATATAATCTGCTCTGCCCATATTGTCTTTAATCAAGTCCAGTTATACCATACTTTATATCAGGTCTCGATTTTCAGCTCCAGCTCACATCTTCAGGTAACCTCGTGGTCACCACAAATAGGCACAAAGTAAGCTGAGAGGGGCAGAGAGACTTAGGGATCCTCAAGACAGCATCAGAGAAGTCACTGACGTGGGTGTTCCCACTCAAACCCAGTATGTTTTTGAAGCTCCATGTAACACTGTCGCAAAGCTAGTCTTCAGGCTCTTCAAGGCTGTATTTTCTTCTGATTCTCCCTGGGCACATTTCACAAGGCAACGGAGAACAAGTTAGAGCCGGGCATGCTGTTCCTTCTTCTGACTGCCTTTTTCTATTTTGAAGACAAAAAGGCTCTCCGCTACATATGCAAAAGCTGCCTGGGACCTCAGGATATATTTGTTTTGCAATTTGAAAAGAGTGGGGGCCCACGTGTGCCCTGCGCGGGGTCACAGGGCCATCCTGGTGAAGTGAGCAGGAGAGAGCCGCTCCAGCTTGGAAGGCAGGGCCACTCCGAGTCAGTTCTCACCCACCAGAGGACTGCATGTCCCTTCTCTGCTCTGGTAAAATGAACTTGCCCCATTTTCCCAACAGCGTCATGCCCAAGGGATGATAGGTCTTGTCTGTTTATGATACAACTGCCTATACCAGTGGGTGGCAGAAGAGTTCATTTCCCCCCAAATGATCTGATGGGTGTGGCCACCGGGCCTATGATGCTGAGCAAATGTCCTGCAGTTGGGAAACAAATACTTATTAACTACCATTATCTCAGGGAATCCTACCACTCTTCACAACAGTATACCTGTACAAGGTCATGTACACACACACACACACACACACACACACACACACACAACCAAGCTAATTGGGTTCACTTTCAATTTCATGACCAGTGTGGCAGTGATACTCAGTGACTGGGCAGTGATACTCAGCATTCCCAGTTTATTCACTCTCCCAGTGTCCTAGACTATTTTATACCTTCTCTCTTCTCACTCCCCCTCACTTCCTCCGTTACTCTTACTCTCAACAGATTCTTTGTCTCCCTGATAAAATGAAAGCAATCAGAAGTGAACTTCTCTGGCCTCATCTTCTATTCTCCTTGCTCACTTTTTTTAAAAACACATCCATAGCATGTGTTTAACTTCTACTTAAGTTTATTTCCCATCTCCTCTTGCTAGCATGTAAGTTTTACCAGGCTAAGGACAATTTTCCTTCTTATTCATAGACCTACCTCAAGCATATAGAACAATATATAATTTGTGCTCAATAAATATTTGTTAAATGAATAAATTCCTAAAATGCATAAATTGTAAATCATAGAAAGTGAGTCAAGGTAGACCTACGTGGATGATGTGTCATGTAGATGGTGGGGAAAAGAGAATAAGGGAAAAAGGGGATGAATAGGATTTGATAAAGTATTCAAAGCAACTCCTACCAGTTAGCCATCACCCCTGGAGACATTTCAGTTGTCATAGAAACAAAATATTAGCCCAAACTGTCAGTATATCCTTAGCACAGTTTCTGACTCACTCTGAGTCAGTCTCCTCAACTGTAAAGTGAAAATAATACTGTATTACAGGATTGACATAAGTAAATAAGATAATGCATATAAAGTACCTAGCATGGGTGCTCAAAAGAGTGGATGTTGTAATTTACCAAATCCCAGTGTGCTGTGTACTTCCTGAGTTTGTGAGGACCTCAGATATGTAGTTATTTCCCCAATTCAGCAAGAATTCCAAAACTCTTACTGAATTTCATTATTAAAAATATCAATAGCTTCCACAAGATGGCACTCTGCCCCAGCCCTGGTTCCCTGCATCCAAGGGGTTTGACATAATGTAAAATTGTGTGTCTGAGGCCCTCTGCTGGCTTTTGTTTTTCTTCATCTTGAGCCTTTGACTTGGATTTAATTAATGGTTCCATGTGCTCCCCTGAATATCCTCAGCATGAATTCTTTAATCCACAATTTAAGCCTGCTGCCCGATGGCTCACTTAAAAGTTTACTGAACTGACACAGCTTCCAGGCATAGCAGTGACACCAATTTGGCTGTACACAGAACCAGTGTGTTTTGCTAGTCCAGATCCTCACTGTTTACTATTGTCACAAGGCCTCCAAGCTCAGCCTCTGTCATTTAGTCTGAGAAGTGCTGCGAGATTGGCCTGTCTGTATGTCAGTAAGCCCTTGGTGTGTATGAAAGTATGTGGGGTGGGAATCTTATAACCTTTCTTAGATTTCCTTAATTTGCCAATGACTACAGTACAAAATCTTTCCAAGTATTCTGCCCTCTCAGGCCCACTCCCCTCACTACCACCCATCTTTTCTGCCTCTCTCCACTCCCAGATGCATTGCATCCTGGGCACCTGAGGGACACTGTCCACTCAGGTTGAAACATCCTCCACACCACCACCTTTCTATCTGAATTAAGTCTGCTGCCTCATCCTGCACCCTCACACTCCACAACTCCCCATCTTTGGGCTTGTGCTAAGAACAGATGTGACACAGAGGTAGTCCCACTTTGCATGCAAGTGTTTTTGGCTTAATATAAATCACACAGAATTTACAAGTCAGAGTTCATATTAAAGATCACATTTATGACTATTGGGATTTTATTTAGTGTTTTATTTGGAATTCTAAAGATCTGAAGCCAGGCCCAAATTCTGACTTAAAAACATTCAGCTGGAGCAAGGCAACACTGCCATCATTGGACTGAGCATGCCCTTTTGTTTTCTGGTTGCCATTAGTCACACGAAGTATGCTGGCTTCGTGTGCTGTTACCAACCTGGCTCCAAAGAGCCTTTGCCTCTTGAAACCGCCTTTTGGCTATTACGACCCATCTAACTGCCAAGTCTTAGCTCAAATGCCATCTCTGCTAATATTTCCTAATGAATCCTGCTCAATCTGATCTCTCGCCTCTTTGAATTCCTCTAGCCTTTTCCTTGTATATTATGACACATCACACTGTCCCCGTAATTAGCTGTAGATATGCTCTACTAGAAACAAAATCAAGGTTAAGTGACCAATTCTGTGATCTTAGGCAACAAAACTGGACACAGAATTTGAGATTCTAGGACCTGAGGTGGAAGTGCCTCTATACACAGGCAGTTTTAATTCTCTTAACTCTCCATGCAATCTTCCTTCTGTTTACAAAAAAACTATGAGACAATTTGAGGATGTTATTTTTTAATAAAGGGACCACATCACTTCATTTGTTACAGCAAACATTAAATAAGAGGTGGCGACTCAAGAGGGCCCCAGTAAGCTGGTTCACCCATAAAACAAGAAAAGAATAAGCAGCTTCCCCATCCAAGTCTTGGTTAACTTTTTCTTTTGATGTCTATTCTCCCACCCACATTAGCATGCTGCTTCCAGAATGGAAATCTGCCTTCAAATCTTAGGAAGTTAGTGTATCCACTTGCCTTAATAATGAAAGAGAGGTCCCTAGCTTAGCTAAGGAACCTGGACAAGTCTTCTTTGATTTCAGCCTCATCCCAAGGCCCGTGAATGTTTTCTTTAAAAAGCTGCAGGCGAATGAGGTAGAAAGGGCAGAGACATGAGATGGAAACCAACAGAAGGGCAAAGAGTATGGCACCCACGACACTAATGGACAGTAGGCCCCCCAGGGCTGAAAATGCAAAAAGCAGCGTGACTCCCACATAGCTGCGGGGAGTACATGCCTTCAGTTTCTTCTGCAACATGGGCCACAGGGCAAAAATCTGGATAGCAAAAGTCACCATGATGAAGGCATGAAGGGAGCGGGGCAGGCGTGAGGCAAGGCAGACGGAAGCAAAGATGGCCATGTTCAAGGACAGTGTACTGGATACAATGGCAGCATTGGCACCATAATCAAAGAAGATGAGGTGGCCTAAAAGCATGAAGACTGACATGGCATAGATGGTGTCGGTGCTGACAGACTCTGTCAGGGTCTTCAGTAATGGCGAAAAACCATACGTGAAAGTAATAAAGACAAGGGCACTCTTCAAATCAGCCCACCGGGTCCGCCCGCTCTTCTTCCGTCCTTCACCTCCATCAATGAGATCAAATAAAACATAGCCAATCAGTGAAGAAGCCAGGCCAGTCCCAAAAAGCCAATGGGGGGCCAGAAGACCCTCATCCATATACCACCAGATAACCACAAAAACACAGACGCTGCACAGCTGCTGTATCACCACACTGGACTCAAATACCACAGCCCAGTATTGGTATTTCCGGGCATAGATGTTTTTCCTGAGTTCTTCCAGAAATCGCCGGTCCACATAGTTATCAGGAAAGGGCTGTCGCTCATACAAGACTTTCTGCCACCTGGCCTCCTTGGTATTAGTTACAGGTTGGGCACACATTGTACTTTCTCTCAAATGTAGACTAGTTCAATCTTCCTAGCAGAAGTCTGTGTGCTGCTTGCTCCTTATAAAGTTTTGATATAAAATCTCTCTAGAAATTTCATGTTGTGTTGTAGCTGATATCCTACTGACCTTCCTTTCCTTGCTTTCAAAAGCAGCAACCCAGGCTAGGCCTGCAAAAGATGAGGTTGTTCTCTGAGGCAGGATAGTATAGCCAAGTTCCTAGAAAAAGAGAGACTATGAACCTATGAAAGTTATAAAAGGTCAAGGCTAGTACTGAATTAAAATCAAACCAATTCAGTTTATTAAAAATATGAGCAAAAGTTGTGATGGTCATCTCAGCATTATGGACGTTAAAATTTTATCTCAGATTTAAAATAAACCCTTGAATAATAATAGACTTTTTAAACTACCACACAGAGTACCTACTATGTGCTAAGTGCCTTGCATGGCTTCTTTCATTTAATCTTCCCAGCCTTGCCACGTGAGTGTTAACCAACTTTACTAGGAAAAAAAGTCTATAAATTCCTTAGGTAACTAGCTAAAGTTAACTGTGGTCAATAGGGAAGCACGATTCGAAGCAACCTGTTTGACCCAATGCTTGTGCCTCCTCATGTCATCCGTCTCATAAAGTCAGTTCTTAATATAGGGGTTCACATGGCTTTGAGGACTATGGATGGGCTTCAGTCTCCAAAGCCCTCCCTGTAGCTGCACTTTGAGGATTTCTAGGGTTAAGTCCAGAACTTTAACTGGATTCCTCAAGACATGTATTGCCAAAAAAAAAAAAAAAAGTTGCCTGTCAAGGCAGCAATAAACTATGCATTATAAGCGATAGTTTAGTCAAAACCAAGGAATCAAAGAAATTAAATTTCTTCATCCAGTAATTGAGCTTAACATCTTTGAAAGGGGCTACCATCCTCTTTACAACTTGTGGGGGTAGAAGATAATGAGCCCCTTTTCACAATGGAGAAACCAACAGAAGTGCCAGGCTCGTCCAGGAAATCTGCTAAGAAAATTCGTATTGCCCACTTATTTCTCCCCTGGTGACCAGGACAGGTTTTACTTCGCACACCGGCCACCCTGGGCGCCCCAGTCACTGAGCAGGACCCCTGGCCCGGGGATGTCGCAGCCGCCGAACGGGCTGGAGGGCCCCGGACGCCGACAAGGGCAGAGCAGTCCACAGGGTCCCGGACCCGGCGAGGCCAGGGTGGAGTGTCCCTGGGGGCTCGCCTCACCCTTCCGGGCCTCCCCGGTCTGCCGCCATCCCTCGATCAGCCTCGACCCTGAGGGACGGCAGAGAAGAGGAGGCCCCGGAACACTGACGCCTACTGGAAACCCACCTACCGGCGAGTTCTTAGGGCTGTGCGGCAGGGGAGGAGGGAGCCTGCCTACTTCCCCATCCGGGGCACCCGGGCCGCAGGGCGGCCGGGCACTTCCGGTTCCGCCATCTCCGCGGCCAGAGCGCCCGTTCCCGGCCGGCGGGACTCGAGGTCACTGCTGCCCCCTGCTGGCTTCCCGGAGGACCTGCGGCTGCTCTCCTGGGGAAGTGCCGAAAGACCGCGAATTGAGCCTCGGAAGGCTAGCGAGAGGCTGGAAAGGAAGAAGAGAGATTATAATGGCCATATATTTTTTTAAGATTTATTTATTTTTATACAAGAGCTGGGATACAGGCCAGAGGCGCGGGAGGATTCACCAGAGACAGAGCGGGGAACAGAACAGGCAGCCAGACCAAAGACACTGCTGAGGGGAGCAGCGGGTGCAACAGGGGAGGTCCGCTGCGCCATGTGGGAATCTCCGTGGCCGTCTGGGACTCGAACCCGTGCTGCAGAGGCTACGGACAGCTTCACAGCGCTGCTCGCAACCCGCTGCGCCACCGGGGAGGCCCCTATAAGGGCTAATTTTATTGCATTCCTATCATTAAGTCAGATCCCTGGCTAGGGGCTTCCCATGCATCTGGGCATTCGTTGTACATAGATTCACCCGGTACCTACAAGTATCAAGCACTGTTTCAGGAGCTTGTGATACCGCAGGAAAAGAGAGAACAAACACTGCTTTTTTGGAGCCTTCAGTCTGATGTGTGGACCTGCAAAGTGATGGCATCTTTCACCTCGTGCAGAGTTCTGAAGCTCAGAGAGGTTATGATTTGGCCACGGCCACCCAGCTGGGCAATGGGTTAATTGAGATTAATATTTGGTTGTCCCTAGCTTCAAAAGCTGGTTCTTCCCTTCTAGAAGAGAGGGTGGAGGGCTCTGTAGCTGAAAACTGCCAGAGCAGAGTGAGCAGGAGGCTGCTAATATTCAGCTGACGGGTGAAAACATTAAAGGATGCAGACACAGAAGTAGAAAAGAGCAAGGGACTATAGAATATGAGCTATTATGGACAGAAAACCTGAGTCCACTTCCTAGCTGTCCTTACTGGTTTACAGGAGTTTGTTAGCTTACTTGGCAAATCAAGCTATCTGAGCTTTAATTTTTCCATCCCTACAATGGAGATAACTATTCACTTTTGACTCTTTTATGGAAAACTCAAAGAGGTGCTATAGAAATCATAAAATTGTCTTTGTTTTATTACATTTTAAAAGCAGAGGTTTATTAGACAAGGAGAAAAAGAGGTTTATTAGAAAAGGAGAATATTAGTCACAGCTGGGGAGGGAGAGCTGTGCCTAAAATTGTTTTTGTAAAGTGTGAACTGCTAGATTGCTACAGTTAGCTTACTTTGGGCTTTCTAATGATGACAGTGATCAAGTGCAATAAATTATGAAAAATTATCTCTTTCTATTTTTCTCCAGATTTCTGTTCCAAAATTTGACAAGATTCCTTGGCTTAGTCAGGCCAGCTTCTTAAACAAGCCATTGGTGCCCAGCATGCCCCAAAGGTAACAGCTCAACCTCCCAGGGTCAAGTTTCAAGGAAGATTCTCACAGAGGGTGATTTCTTAAGGGAGCAAATATTGGAGAGACATGTGATTAGTTGAGAAACACAGTCAAGTGCTCACAAATCAGATATGACCTGGATTTCTCAGCTAAGGGTGAGCATGTGAGACCTGGCTGGAGGACATGGGGTGGGGGGGTGCCATCCCTCTCTTATCACCACCACTCAACAAAATAGGCAAATTTGGCCCTGGACTCTGCCTCTCAGAACACTCCATCCTCCTCCTTATCTTACATTTCCTCCTCTGTTTCAGTGTGAAATTTTTAAATTTTAACCTTCAAGCTTATCACCCTAAATTCCCATCTTTATCAAGGAGCAGTGTCCTGCTTTTAATTTTGAGACAGTCTCCTCCAGTCTCATCAGTCTTGTTGAAGCTGGTGTGCGCTGTTAATTTAGCCCTTAACCACCATGGGTTCTTGTCCCACAAAGCCATAAAAGGAATTTGAGGACTTTTTAGACAAGTAAACAGAGAAAAACAAACTTTATTCAAGAAAGTAAGGTTTATTTAGAGGAAAAGAACAAAAGCAGAGATTCCAATGTACCAACGCCAAGGAGGACAAAAGACACCATAATGGATCCACGTCTAGGGGATATTTAAAGCCTATTTTCTCTGTTCTAAAATCTCATCATCCTATTTTGTGATTGGCTCTTTCTCCTAGGGGCTACCCTCCAGGCAGATGTGCCCATTTTCCCAGCTCTTATCTTAGAATTTCTCTTTTTACTTCCCTTGTCCAAGGTCTCTTAAAATTTACTGTCCCAATTAGCCTCAAATTTTAGCCTTAAAATTTATTGCCCTCATTAGCCCTCCTGAATTTCTCTGCCCTTATCTCAGAAGCCTCTTTCACTCTCCCAAAGTCCTGCCTGCACTGACCCTGAAGCTGCCTAATTTTCCCCACTTTCCCTGGGACTCATTGTCCCTTCCAAACAAACTGTGATGGAACACAGGGCCTTCTTTTTCAAAATTGGGGGAATTCAAAGTTACCCCTTGAAAGAACTGGTGTAAGGTAAGGTAAAAAGTATCAGGCTTTTCTGCCCTCCTGCCATTAGGTTTGATGATGGATCCTTGCGGTCCTGAATGCATGCCTGATGGTGGGCAGCTGGAGTAGGGTGTGGGCATATGTAGATGGGATTCACCTGGGCTGAGAGACTGGGCTTATAAGGGCGGCGTCATGGGAACGCCAGCAGAACGAATGGAAGAAAGCACAAGAGGAGCAGAGCCCCAGAGAACGCCAGAGAGCCCAGAAAGAGTGAAGACTTGCGGGGGGCTGGGTGGCCTGCCAGCATCCTGGCACCCCAGCACCCCTGCCTGCCATGTACCTGGTAAATCCCAATAAAAGCCTGCAAAAGCCACTGAGAGCTCCAGGACTTCTCCTTACCCTATCTGCTCGGATCATAGAAAACCTGCACTGTCCCTTCCTGCCCCTTACAAGTGGGTTAACTGTTTCCTCCCCCATTTTTGACCCCAGCACATCGTGATTTATCCAGCTCTGGGAATGGGGGGTGGGGGGAAGATGGCGGGCAAGTATGAGGTGATGTGGGTTCAGTGGGAGGTTGGGGGACCAGCAGGACAGGAGGCAAGGTCAGAGGTGCATCACAGATGCAAAAGCTTGGATCCCCAATGTGCGGCAGTTTGGTGGAAAAGTTGTCCTTTCTAAAAAGACATTTCTTCTGTGGGTAACTGTCAAGTACCCGCCTGCCTTGGATACATGACTTTGCATGAGGGCCGTCCCCCTCTATCCACATTTCCATAGCATATACCTTTGCTTTGTCTGCTACCCTTTTTAAAATGAACTTCAGAGCAAACAGCTAAACAGTTTTGTGTATTTTCAGTGATCCTTTCAAATGCTTATTGTTTGTTCCTTTTACAAATTTCTAATTGATCTAAACTCTAGCCAATGTCTTAATACCAAGTGGCCAAGGAGAGAGATGCAACAAAGCCAAAGGCTGGTTGGCCCATTAGAAGCACAGGTGATATTGTGCTTATTAAGAGTAGTTAGCACTTCAGGGGCCCTCAGGAATAATGACAGGTTGGCATCTGAGAAAGATCCCTCTGAGAAAGAATTCAGCAAATGTTCCCAGTCAATCAGCACATGGCAAGTTTATTAAGAGAGACCCCTGCATAGACCCAAGTTGGCAGTTGTAAAAGGCAAGAGCTGCATTTTGCCAGAGCAATGGGAGTTCTTTTATTGTGTTGGATGGAATTATTGTGGAAATGATCACCGTGGAGTCAGACTGGGTTGCTCTTCTATGATTGATGATCCATCCTCTCTGCCTCCCCCTGCCCCCACCTTATCCCTGATAATATTTTCTGACTCCACCTCAAGATTCCTGGCAACTTCCTCAGCTGGATTCAGTTTAAGATTTCATTAATTGTCCCTACCCCCACCTCTGGTGTTGTCTTTGGAGACCTTCTATCCTAAATTTTTCTACTCTCAGCTTTCATCAATCCCACCATCCTTTCCTACTCCTGTACCCATTTATGAGGCCCAGAGGTGCTGAGAGACCCCAAGGTTCTTGAACTATTTGCAGGAAATAATTTATGCAGGAGTCAGTGTCAGTGAGTTCGAAGTGAAGCTTGATTGTAGGTAAGATAGTACACTCAGGAAAGAGAAAGGCAGATTTCAAGGGAGAAATTTGTGCCTTGAGTCTTGAGACTGCTGATATGTTTTTAGTTGAGGGGGCAAGGGATTTACAGGTGGCATAATGAGACTTGGTCAGTTTTTAAAAAGGAGCAGTAATTTACAAATTAAGGTAGTAAGATTTGGCCAATTTCTTTAACCAAAACCACTGGATTCTAACCTCCTTTTCGATGATACAGAAGTTTTCACTAGTGACAACAGGTATTAGATAAACTAGTAGGATTTGAGTCGGCTTGTTTATGGAATATTCTTAGCTGTTTTTCAGAAATACTAGATGGGGGAAGTGGAAATGGGCTGCAGCCTTTGTGTTAAGTTTCTGTTCTACCTCACTATTAAACCAGCCCCCCACAACAGGAGCAAAGCATCCCTGTATGTGGCTCCGCAACACACAGTTCCTTCTAGGAGGGCTCTCGGCTTGGCTTGACTATGTGGAAGCCACACTCATCGTTAGGCCCTGTTTGAGATTATTGGCCTCTGGTCTCTCAAGGTCGGCATTACTGTCAAGTCCAAGGCAATCTATTCACATGTCAGAGACAAGGGAGTGAAAAGCCAGTCAGACTCCCTCCCTGCTCTCGCAGAGCCTAGGAAATAGTGAGGAGATGAAGCCATAAAGGCTTCGTTAACACCCAACTCCTTTCACATGCCTGTTCTAAGAAACAATGGACAATGAAATCTTTCCTCATTAGAAAAGAGCGCTGCTCTTGGCAAGAGGACCAGCATTCCGAGTTTCCGAGTTTCTGTTTCATGGCTGCCGGGGACACACACAGCACTGCCCACACAGGCAATTCATGATGCCCAGGCCTCCTGCTTCTTACACTGTAATAAAAGGGCCTGTGAAGAGAACTGGTGTTAACTTGGGGCCTCACTGCTTTCCCTGGTGACTTGGAAGAAAGAAAGTTCCAAGGAAAAGAGTAGATGGAAGGAGATGGTGTTCCATGGAGGAAATAAGTGAATATTTCAGGGGCAGAGACATGGACTCCAAGCCAGCAGGCATGAAGGCCCAGTAACTTCTCTGTAGGCCTTTTCAAGTAAGAGATTTAGGGGCTTCTCACCTGGGACACACTGGCTTGATGAACAGTTTTTCCCTTCAGTATTCATGCACTGTCTCTGTCTACAAATGGTGAGTTCAAAACCAAAGGGATAGAGAAGCTAAGGTGACTTAAAAGGATAGAGTCATTTTGAGGAAGCTCCAAAATGGTCTGCTCCCTCCAGGATTAGGATGGGGAGCACTCTCAGGGCACCCCTGGGTTTCTCTCTGAAGCAAACATGGGCCTGGCTCTTCAAACCCAAGACAGTGCCTCTGACTTGCTCTTGTTTTGATTTCTTAGATCTTCTCTGATTTCGTCCAAGAATACGAACTTGCCAAATTGTCTTCAAGCTCCAGGTGTCTTATCTGAGGTATTCACTTTTATTTTTATTTGAAAAGAAAACCCTAGCTTGTTTTAGGGTGACATAGGCTATGAGCCAGAAGTGTTTTTTCCTCTCAGCACAACCTCTCTCCCCATCTCCAGTGCCTTGGGCCTTCTGTCCCCTGGAACTAAGAACAAAATCATGAGGTTAGAATCATCAGAAAGGACAACCTAAAAATGACCTATTGAGAAATCTGTTCTGAGAGCTTCAGGGACTGCTGCTCAGCCTATGTTCAGAACCAATCCTAATTCTGGAACCTCTAATCCCCTCCTATTGCCACCCCCACAAATTCCTTATGGTGTCCCACCTACAGCCCCCTGCCCTCGGGGAGGTTCACATTAAAGATTCCTCCTCTCCCTCCACCCAACAGAAATCAACCATGACTGGTCATGGGCAGGGCACGAAGAGGCCCCAGAAGCACCCCAGTCACAGCGAGAGCCAGTAAATATGAGCCACAATTCTAACGAGCCCTCATGTCTCTTCATGGGACATGCTTACTGAGCCCTTTTTATCTGGTTTAATACAAATACAGAGATGAGTAGGTCAGAGGCTGCCCACACAGGTGAGTGAGTGGGTGGGATGGGTTTCAGAGAGAGAGGGGTGAAGTGCTGTGAGAAGAGGAGGGACCATCTGCATGGGAAAGGGGAGCAGAGAAAGTTTTAACAGCCAGTGGCATCGTCTCAGTCTGGACAATATTTCCCCAAGTGAAGGCCAGAGCCAGGGGAGCGAAGACACAGAGGCTGAGTGGACAGGAAGTGGCAGGAAGAGGCTTGAAGAGTCAGGTCACCTCACGTGGAGGGGAAGCAAGGAGATGGATTCAGAGTGCACACACCTGGAAAGGCCAAGAGCAATGAGGAGACGCTCGGCTTTTCAGCACTAAGGATGGTCAGGGTCTGAGCAGAGCAGGAGTCACCTCCCCAACTCCCCCACTGTGACAGGCAGTAAGTGCAGAGCTGCTACATGCATGGAGGAGGCTGGGCAGACAGGACTGGCTTGGCAACAGCAGGCAAAAAGACTTCTAGTCTCCCAGTGGCTTGGAACTTCCTATCTAGAGAGTCTCTCCCCTGCCACCCAGCACCTGTATTTGCTCTGGGTCTCAGTGCACCTGCCATCCCAGGCACGGAGCTCTAGCCACCAGTTTGTCTGGGTGGGTAATAGGGGAGAAAGCAAAAGTGCCAGTGTGAGACCCATCGGTAGGGTTAGACTTTCATGGCTGTAAGACTATACCGGCCACTGGATGGCAGCCACGAGTAACAGCTGCCCAACCTGCTGGCCACTCTGGGAGACTCAGGAGTTCTAAATGCCTTCACTCAAATACCTCCCTCCCTTTCACCCACACCCTGTGTGTGTGTGTGTGTGTTTGGGGGTGGGGGTTAGCCCTCCACCATTGTGCATGTGTGTAAAAGGGAGACAAAATTTTACCTTTGCTGACTTAGGGTTTGGGACTGGGCCTGAAAATTAAATTGACATAAGACCAGTTAAGAAGAGAAAAGGATACAGATTTTTTTTTTTAAGATTTATTTTATTTATTTATGCTTACAAGAGCTGGGGTGCAGGCTAGAGGTGCAGGGGGTGAGAGGATTCACCAGAGACAGAGTGGGGAACAAAACAGGTGAATCGACTGAAATACACTCCTGAGGGGAGCAGCAGGTGAGTCGGGAGAGGTCTGCTGTGCCATGTGAGTTAGCTCCCTGGCTGGGGATAGTTCATAGTGCTGAGACTTAACCGCTCATGCCACCAGAGAGGCCCAGGATACAGATTAATCTAATACAAGTTTTATATGGGAACCCTCATAAAGAAACAGACCCAAAGAAGTAGCAAAACCTAAATGTTTTTATAGGTCAATGCAAGACAGGCAATTGTGGGAAAGTAACTAACATATATGGGTAGGTAAGAGGACGATAATCCTTTTAACAGGGTCTGCACAGAATTCTCTCAACTTCTGCTGCTTCTAGGTGATAAGAATGTTATTTTCCTCCTGGTGTAGGGAAGATATTTGCCACATGGGGCATTATCTCCTGCTTGTAGGAAGAAAAGAAGGATTGCCCCCAGAGAGGGTCCTCTTGCACCAACTAATTTTTTTTTTAAAGATTTATTTATTTATTTATGCAAGCACTGGGTACAGTCGGAAGCACGGGAGGGTGAGGGAATTCACCAGAGCAGGAAGTAGAGCAGACATACTGATGAAGTACACTGCTGAGGGGAGCAGCGGGCGGCAGGAGAGGTCTGCGCGCCATATGGGACCCTTGCCCAGGGGGCGGGGATCGAACCAGAGCTGCAGAGGTTGCTGGCAGCTTCCCAACCCAGCGCTCAACCTCTGCACCACCAGGGGACGCCCCACCCACTAATATTTAAAGTGCCTGTAGCTTCAAAAAGTCTTAGCCAAAGTGGCATATTTGGGGTGGCATATTTTGCCATCTTTCAGGGGAACCTGGGAGCCCTGTTCTTTCAGGACACCTGGTCAGACAATGGCAGTCACAAACCATCTCAAACCTGAATCCAGCCCCCAGAGTCAGCTGACAGTGTGAGACTTAACATGGGTGCTGAGGTAGAGATAGGCTCCTGGGGCAGCTGCTTCTTCCTGGAAAGAAACTGTTTTATCACACAAGAGAGGAACGCACTGTGGACACCATGTCACTTCCTTTATCCTCTAATCAGGGACTTGCCAGGAAGCCTCTGGCAGCCCTGCAGCCACTCAGAAGTCCCCACCTTTGTGCAAAGGGCAAAGGTCCTGCTACCTAATGCCCAGACTCCTCCGTCACCAGTCAAAGGGCAGGACTTTGAACACCCACATTCCAACTGTGTTTCTTCCTGCCCACGGCAGGCCCTGGGGTGGAGGCAGGTGTGTACATGTCCAGAGAGCTAATGAATCTGCAGACACAGAAGGGAACTGAGGAGGCTCAGAGATTGAAAAATGGAGAGAGGGAGGCAGAGAGCAGGTATTAGAGTTAAGGGATATACAGAGAGGAGAGAGGCGGGGGACAGAACACAAAAAAGGAAAACAACAGTGGAGCCTAAATTTTCCCATATGTGTGCCCATGTGGAGACACCTCTGACAATCCAACTTTCACCTGCCACTTACAGGCATTGACTCAGAACTCCTTGGGATGCCAGGAAATAGGAAAGTGCATCCAAATTGTTGACTAGGTGTTTGCTCAGATAGCCAAGCAGGCAGAGAAGATGTAGGGTGATCTGCAGCTGCAGACCCCGCCCCCCCAGGCCTCATTGTCTACTTTCTGGGTTGGGTGTGCTATAGCCAGAGGGCCTCAGTTACTAATGGAGCACTGAAAGCTACTCCATGCTGCCAGCAACTGCCCTGCCCCCTCCCTGTTCTCTTTGATCTGGGTTTGTTGTTCCAGTCTAATGAGTCAGAGTAAGACAAGAACATTATTTATTTTGCTTTTAGCCAACCTGTGACAAGAAGTCTGGCTATGGGGGCTGTGCAGTAGCAGAGATGCAGCTGGGGAGGGAGAGCAGGAGAGAGACAGAGAGCAGAGAGGTGGAAGTAGGGGGAAGGGAGCAAAAAGAGAAAAACATATTTCCAAGTTCCTTTCCCAAAGATTCAAGAAGACCAAAAAATTGGGCCATGAGCCAGATCCCTGGAGGCTTGACAGATATTGACCCCAAATATTAGGAAGTTTCCACTTGTGAGGTGTGAAGAGCAGCTTCTGGTGTCTGGGGACAGGCTGAGATGGGCACCAGACCTTGGCCTCACTGTCCTGTCACAGGGTGCCTAGTCTCATGGGGCCAGCTATGTGGGCAGTGAGAATACCGTTAACATTTCAGAGCCTCATGGTGGTTCTGACTCTACAAGTGACATAAGCAGGGACTTGCCATTCCTGTTCCTGCTATCATTTAGCTTGCCTTAAGGAAGCCAAGAGTGAGAAGAGAAGGTTATAGAAGGGAAAGCCCTGGGCATCAGGGCTGGGAAAGGAAGCAAGATCCAAGGGAGGAAGCCAAGGCCTATATAACATGGAATCCCAAGTTTGTTAGCATCATTTCTTGGTAGACTGTCTAGGCAGGACTTATTCACAGCTGCCTCCAGTGCTGTATAAACACCCCCTCCCGTGCCCTACCCCTCTCCAGAAGAAAAGGAATGGAGAGGCTTTTCCTCAGGTGAGGCTACAGCTGATAGCTTCAGGTGGAGAGCCACTGCCACATTCCTGACAGGGCTATCAGCTGGTTTTCTACTCTACTTGTAAAGTGTGGGCAGGATCTTTGTCTTTTTGACCACAGAGACTGCAGAGGATGGGAGATCCATAGAATTTATAGAATTAACAAAGCCGCCAGGTCACACATAGAGTCTGGTTGGGGATATTCCGGTTGGACCCGAAGCCAGCCCCTTCCCCCAGAACATTGTGGAGAATCAATTTGTTGCACACAGATTCCTGAAACATTCCCCTGAAGGTGCACAGTAATAATGCTGATCTTCTCTCTCTCTCTCTCTCTCTCTCTCTCTCTCTCTCTCACACACACACACACACACACACACACACACACACACACACACACACTCACACGTATCTCTTATGTCTCTGGTATTTATATACATATGTGTTGTATCTATCTTTCAGCCAACATGTGTTGGATGCCTGCTATATTTCAGACTGCGATAGGTTCTAGGAATACAAAGGTGTGTGAGACACATCCTTGCTCTTTAAAGGAGGAACAAACAGGCCAGGACAATATCCAATGAATTTCATCCTTCAGATTCCAAGTTATGATCATGACCCACAGTCCCATTTGAAATTATGGACCTTGTGGGCCTCTCACATAAGTCTGTTGCTTGATTCATGATGAACTCTTATTCCTCTTCCTGTCAGATCTAGTATTAGTCTTATGTAGAAACCTGAAATCTGGAAAAGATGAAGGACTCAGTTGCTGGAAAGACAAGGATCTGGCTATCACTCTGCTAAAAAGAAATCTGCCTGAGGATTCCTACACATCCCCTCCACCTGTCCAGATCTTCCTCATCCTTTTGGACCAAGTGCAAACACTTCTTCTAGAAGCCCTTCCTGATTCCTCCTTTGGGACGCTGGCCCCTCTTTGCAGTATCATTGCTTCTGTGACCATGCCTCCAATCTTGAGTCACAGTTTCAGAGAAGGGCTGAGTTGCAGAACTCAAAGATGTGAGCCAGAGAGACCACCTCTGGGATCAGTGAAGACCTGGTAGAAGGTTGAGCTAGCCCAGAAGCGAAGGAGTCGGTACCCACGGGACACTTCAGCCCAGCTGCTCTTCCCCTACTCCCCTCCTCTTTACCACAGCACCCACCATCCCACCAGCCTCACCTGAGAGGATTTGCTAGGTCATTCTGCCTTGTTTCCTACTTTTGGAATGTGTCCCCTCTTGTTTGCCCCCCACTGCTGCCTATCCCAGCTTTACCTCTCTTTTAACCCTTCTCAAAACTTTCCTTCCATGTCCCCACCTGCACCCCATGAACTCCGTTCATGTCTCTTTTCAGTTTCAGTGCAGCCTCAATATATTTCTGTCCTAAGTACCTTCAACGCCATAGTGCTTATGAACACACTGTCCATAGTGACAGCTTGAGGTCAGAAGCCATGTCTCATTTATTGTCGCAGCTTCCCTAGGTACCTAACAAATGGTGAATGAGTGTATTTGTCTTCTTCCCTCATCTTCCTCAAGCCCAGAGATGTTGCTTCTGCATCTTTGTGACCCCAGTGCAGCGCCCTCCTTGTTGTGGCCTCACAACCAACATTTGTTGAATGAATGAACCTAGTCATTCTCACTCACGCTGTCACATGCCAGCCCACAACACTGAGATACTGAGTCGATTCTTTTGGCCTCTAAAAATGAAATGTATTTTAAATATTTGTCAGAAGAATCCAACTTTGTCCTCAGAGCTCAGTCCTCCAACCTCCAGAAGTGGCTCACCCAAGTGCCATGTGTCTCTCTCCGGATGCATACCAATCCAGCCCACTCCAGACACACCCCATGCTGCGCAGGCATGGCCCTCCTCTCCCTGCTCCCCAAGCCTCCCTGGACAGCTGGCGCAAGCCAGGGCACAGGTGCACACAGGTAGAAATAGGTCACCAACTGCAAGGGGAGGTTTTAGTTCATTGTCTTTGTCTATCTCTCCTCTCCTGCATGCTCTACCCTTCTACCGTGGTGTCAGTGAGAGTGAGGAAGATCAGCTGTGAGTTCCCATGAGCTTCCTAACCAAGGTCTCTCAGAGATGCAAACAAGAATCTCACACTGAAGGTGTAAAATGCTCTGAAGGCTCCCTGTTCACCTTCCAGTGGAAGCAAAGAAAGAACACAGTGGCTCAAGAGGTTAAGTCTCAGCACTATGACACTATTAGCAGCCACTGCACCATGAGTTTGATCCCTGGCCAGGGAGCTGACCTCAATGGTTCAGCAGACCTCTCGTGTCTCACTCGCTGCTCCCCTCAGCAGTGTATTTCAGTCCCCATCCACCTGTTCTCCCCACTCTGTCTCTGGTGAATCCTCTCACTCCCCGCACCTCTGGCCTGTACCCCAGTTCTTATATGCATAAATAAATAAAAATAAATCATAAAGAAAAAACAGTGATTGTGGGGGGCAGACTCGGTGCCCCATTCTCCCCACATTACTGCTTTCTTTAACTTGCTGGGGTGGCCTCTGTTCCCTAAAGAAGGCAGGTGCTCAGGATCACATACCAGTCCTGTGCTGCCATGGTGCCACTGAGGACTCTTGGGAGGAATGGAGGAGCCCTGTGGGGCTGGGGTATTTGTGTGGGAACTGATGTGGAGCCTGAATTAAGGCATGGGGCCAGGAAACAGCGGTTTTCAGGAGAGAAGTCTTCACTTTCTTCAGGTCCTCAGAAGCTCTCAAGTAGTGTGTATGGAGGAGCCTGTGTATGGGGAAATGTGTCACCTCTGAGAGAACACAACTCCTCAGACTCCACATTCACACCATAAAGAGCGTGCTCACTGGATTTCAGCCCTGGCCCCCTCTGCCAGCTGCCTCTTCCTGTCCTACCTTGTGCAATGGCCGTGAGGTTGCCACCTGGTCTATGGTTCTCTCCCTCTTGCCTTAACCCTTTCTGAGCCTACTGAAGCCAAGTCTAGATCCAGAACCCCCCAGGTTTAAGACTGAGGCCAGACTCCATCTGTTTAATGGAGGGAATGACTTCTAATATTTCTCACCCCTCTGCCTCTGTCCCATTTCTTTGCTCCCCAGATACGCCAGTCTTTCCTCACCTCTCCATCATTTCCCCTCAGGCCAGAAGGAACCAGAATATCCCCTCGTGGGCCAGAAACAAGCAGCTCTGTGCCACATGTCATGAAATGAAATTGGTAAGCCAAGGATGGGGCTGGGATGACAGATATGGGTAGGGGCATCCTCAAGGTGCAACACTATTTCACCCCTCCCAAAGCCCAGTGGAGGGAGACAGGATGATGAGAACTCTTGAGGGGAAGATCTTCATTAGGGCTGTAGGTGAGATACTGTTGGCCCTGGGAACACTGTCATGTGACACAGTATGGTGAACCTTCCCCATCTTCAGCAAACCAAAAGATGAACCAAAGTAGGTGGGCCTGAGGGGACGGAACGAGATGAGCCAATTTGTCCTGCACTCCTAAGGTAACTGCACCCTGAGAGAGGTTCTGAAAGTTGTGGACACACACACACCACACAGCCCACCTCCACCACGGCAACTATGAGACACGCAGCTCAGTCTTTGGGTTTCTCGCTATCTTCAGACATCACCCAAGGAGAAAAGCTGTGGAGAGCATCCAGAGTATGTTCAAACTACCAGGGATGTCTGTAACTGGTGGTATTTGGAAAAGAAATAAGGTGTCAAGGAAGATTGGGGGCACCAAGGGAAAAATCCTGCCACGTCCAAAGTCACTGGAGAAAGAGGGCTGTTTCAGGAGGGAGGGATGCTGTGGCAGGTTGGAGTTAGGACCTGGGTCAGTTGAAGGATTAGGGTTAGGGTCAGTCAGATAAGGGTCAGGCTTGGGTTGAAAGTTAATTTAGCTAAATGGTTAGGTTCGGGGTAGGAGTTGCAGAAGGGTCTCTTTAATTTTGATATCCACTCAGGGAGAAATGGGGGGCCTTCATATGTCGAGTGTGAAGAAGGGCAAAGAGTGGAAGAAAAACAGGAGACCCAAGGGAGGCTCCTTGAGTGAGTTCCTGGTAAAAGGGGCACTAGCGGGGCACTAGCAGTGCACAGAAGAAACCAGTAGTTTTGTGAAATTGTTGTGTGAGATTTGGAAATTTAACTGAAGCTACTGGCAAGAGTGTACCTGGATGTTGCAATCTGTGTTCATTTTCTACATACTTAGGATCACAGTGTTCAATATTAGCATTGACTGGAATCTGGGAAGCTGGGATTGGGGTTTCTTCTGGTCTTATTCCTGGAACCACTTTTTCCCCATTTAGAATACACTGACCCCAGGCCTAAGCTAGACTTGGCCAGCTGGCTCACTTGGAAGTCAGCAGCTGTTCTGTCTCTCAAGACCTCTTCTCTGACCTTTGCCTTTGCCCAGGCCCAACTGGAGTGGAGCCACATACTGTAGTTATACTATTTGCTGCAGATGTCAAAAGGAAGAGCCTCAGACACAGAAGTGCCTGGGGACCCTTCCTACTATTGTCAAGACCACAGATCGTGGTGGGAAAGTATAGAACATTAGCAAAAAAGCACAAGTGCCCTTTCCTTGGCTTCCATGGTGGGGCTGAGGCTGCACATCTGCTGTAGTCACAGAGCTCCCTCTTTTCTCTTTCTTCTCAGGGAAGATATCTAAATACTCCTAATGATAGGAGAAACTTCATCAACTTGATGAGGTTATCAATAAACAACCCATATGAATATCATAATCATTGATGATGGCCTGAATATTTTTCCCAAGACCAGGATGTGTACTCCTGCCATTTCTGTTCAACATGGTACTGTACATTCTAGTCAAGGTAGTTAAGACCAAAAAAAAGAAAAGGCATTCAGATTAAAAGGGAAGACATAAAACTTTATTTGCAGATGATGTGATTTTCTACATAGAAGATTCTAAGGGACTCACAAAAGAACTTATTGTTAGGGGGAAAGGATGTCCTGAGCTTATCCTATACAGGCTTTGTGGACTCCACCCCCACTCCAGACTAAAGCCATCAGGACATTGGGAAAGACAAATCCCATCACCACCAAAGGGAGGGTGGCTGGGATTTGTCTTTCCCAATGTCCTGATGGCTTTAGTCTGGAGTGGGGGTGGAGTCCACAAAGACTGTATGGGATTAGCTCAGGACATCCTTTCCCCCTAACATTATTAGAGCTAACAAATGAATAGAGCAAAGTTACAAGATAAAAGGCTAATACGCAAAAATTAATTCTATTTCTATATAATAGCAATGAACAGTCCAAAAATGAAATTCATAAAATAGTTCCATTTATGATAACATCAGAAAGTAACATACCTAATAGTAAATTTAACTAAAGAAGTGTAGGACTTATACAATTTATAATATGTCATAGAAAGAAATTAAGATATAAATCAAAATATGACTTAATCTGTGCAATGGAATATTACTCAGACATGAAGGAAGGAAATACTGCTGCATGCTACAACATGGATGAACCTTAAAAATATTATGCTAAGTAAAAAAAAAAATACAAAACAGGAAACGGTACCTACTGTATTGTATTCATTTGTATGAATTTCCAATTTCTATGACAAATCCCTAGAGACAGAAAATAGACAGTGGTTGCCAAAGATTTAGGGGAGAAATTACTGAGGAATGACTGCCAGTGAGCACAGGATTTCTTTTTTGGATGATAAAGATTGAATGGTGATTGTTTTACAATTTTGTGAGTATACTAAAAACTACTGAATTGTATCCTAAGATGGTGTTTTTTTTTAGTATGTGAATTATACATCAACTTTTAAAAAGACTAGAAAATCATTTAAGTGTAAAAGTACAGAATGGATAAATACCAAAAAAAGAAAATGCTAAATAGGACCTGGCTTGCATAACTACTCATACTCCTGTGTAACCCTGGGCCAGGAGCTCAACTGTTTATTGTGAAAGAAATATCAGCAGAGAATTATGGTTGTGAATCACCAGAGATCTCTGCCTTAGTCTTATCTAAACTGTTTTATCATGTATCTGCTCCAACAGTTCATCTTGCCCTTAAAGCATCTATTTTGTAACGCAGGAGTTGTCTTAGTTTCTAATTAACATGTTTAAGCCCCTTAAAAATAAGAGATCAAACTGGACCTACCACAGGGAGACATATAAGAACTGGTTTAGAAAGTTTATGTTATTCAGCTCATTTCAGCAGAGACTTATTGATTGCCTGCCATGTGCCAGCTGCTTAGGTAATACCTCAGCTGTAAAGAGAAATAAAAAGAATAAGGATTGGCTCATAAGGAGCCAGTAGATAAAACAGATAATGATAATGTGCTGACTAGAGATAGAAATAGACCCAATGGGGAATCAAGGGGCTGTTAGGGGGAAAAGGATGTCCTAAAGCTAATTCCATACAGGCTTTGTGGACTCCATCCCCACCCCAGGCCAAAGCCAAAGACACTGGGAACTCCAAATCCCAGCACCACCAAAGGGAAGGTGGCTGGGACCTGAGGGTGGGGTTAAGCAGCCAAGTTGGTATAAAGGCAGACACGTGGGCTTTGGGGGCCCCCCATTTTGGCTCTGCCAGCTCGCAGCTGTCCGGCCAGCTCTGAGAGTGACTTTGGGTTTCCAGGTCCGTGGATCGGGTAGGACGCATTAAAGACTTTATTTCCCTATTTTCTCCCTGAGTTGTACATTTTCCTTATTTCCTTTTCCCTTGTAAATAAACCTTTTATTAACCTTTTGTGTGTGCCTGTAGCGGAGTATTCATAAGTCCCTTTTAAGCGCGCGGGTGAGGACCCACAGCCAGGAACCCGTTCAATATCGAGGCTGTCCTATAACAGCTTGGTGCCCAATGTGATTTCCAAGCTTCACCTGTGGTTGACCAGCCCAAAGTAATTTTTCTTGCGTTGGTCACCATAAAGCTAGCTGTTATAGGACAGCCCCGATATTGAACGGGTTCCTGGCTGTGGGTCCTCACCCGCGCGCTTTAAAGGGACTTATGAATACTCCGCTACAGGCACACACAAAAGGTTAATAAAAGGTTTATTTACAAGGGAAAAGGAAATAAGGAAAATGTACAACTCAGGGAGAAAATAGGGAAATAAAGTCTTTAATGCGTCCTACCCGATCCACGGACCTGGAAACCCAAAGTCACTCTCAGAGCTGGCCAGACAGCTGCGAGCTGGCAGAGCCAAAATGGGGGGCCCCCAAAGCCCACGTGTCTGCCCTTATACCAACTTGGCTGCTTAACCCCACCCTCAGGTCCCAGCCACCTTCCCTTTGGTGGTGCTGGGATTTGGAGTTCCCAGTGTCTTTGGCTTTGGCCTGGGGTGGGGGTGGAGTCCACAAAGCCTGCATGGAATTAGCTTTAGGACATCCTTTTCCCCCTAACAGGGCAAGAAAAGTAAATATCAGGGGAAATTTTTCAGAAGACTGGGTTTTTCAAGAATGAAAAATGAATGTTCTCTACATGACACACTTTTTCTCAGAGACAAAAACGCCCTCTTTAGTTGCTCTATTTTGAGGGAGCCCCTGTAACCCTCTTCTGCATACAAAGTAATAGCTGGATTTAGGGACTTTGTAATAGGACTCTGTTATTCAGGGTGAGGTGGAGTTTCTGCCATCTTGCCTTGGAACAGACCCAACTTCAGAAGACATTTTGAAAAAAGGCAACATCTTTTTCAAAGAACAAGGTTCGCTCTTTCTTACTCCCTGTTATATATCTTGACACCTTTCTCATGTTCACCCTAAAACCTTTGCTGCCCTTGTTATAGGAAAGGGAGAGGGGCAGCCCAAACCCCACAAAACTGCCTATTCTAAATGGGTTCTGCCATCCGCCGCATCAGCACTAAACATATGAGACTTTAATGGGAAGGAACTTTAATAAAACTAGGAAACAATACAGGTAAGGCAAAGAGTCTAGTTTCTAAATGAAGCACCCAAAGTTACCCGTCCCCTCATGGGTAAAAGTCCATCCATATGGGATTGGCCCAGTGCAAGGCCCCGAAGCCTGCCACAAGTCTAAGGCATCTTCCAGTGGGGACCCACAGAAAGGGTCAGAAACAACCAGACAAGCCTGGAAGGAAAAGAGCAAAATCAAAATCAAGATAAAAGCTGCCATTGTCACCTCCCCACGGGTCTCACCCACATCTGTGTCACCTCGTCCACCACCAAAAGACAAGTGGTTTCTTCACGTGTCTCTCGGCTCCATGCGCCTCCTCCAGGTCTCCTGGCTCCATCCTGCTTCCTTCCTCAGTCTCTTCTGCAGCTTCTCCTCTTCCTGCTCAGCTCCACCCTCCCTTGGGTGGGGCAGGGAACCTCCCCCTTTCCTGGGGACCACCCTGTTACACCCTCAGTATCCCCAGAGGCTGCCCATACCCGATCACCAGCATCTGCCCCACCTCTCCTCCCATTCCTCAGCTAATGAGTTAGAACCATGTGATTCAACACTTTGCACTTGGCATTTGTATAGATTTAATATTAAGATTGTTGCTGTTTTCAAGCATATCTCCAGATCCTTGACACACCAGCTTGCAAGTTTACTGTATCATAAATTTAAGTACCTGTCTTTTAGAACAAGTCACTCAGCAGTCCAGCTGAGTATCTGTGGCCACATCTTCGTGATGAACTTTTCATTTCAGGGCTTTAATATTTTGGGGTAGGGGAAATGCCTCTTAGAGAAAACATGATCTGCAAGAGAAAACCAACATCTAGTGCTAGTTATAAATCTGAAAAAGTTAGAGATATCTCTCAATCGGGAATACTGGAACTGTATAATTGATTTTAATCCTGTGTATGGGGCAGACTGCAAACCTTAAGTGTGCTTTGGAGTGGCTTCCTTCATTCACTAATTTGACCAGAAAGTATTTTTTATTTATTTTTTTTTTTTAAAGTTTTTTATTTATTTGTTTGTTTGTTTATACATGCACTGGGTACAGTCAGAAGCGCGGGAGGGTGAGAGAATTCACCAGAGCCAGAGTGGGGAGCAGAGCAGGCAGAAGGACCGAAGTACACTGCTGAGGGGAGCAGCGGGCGGCAGGAGAGGTCTGTGCGCCATGTGGGACCCTCCTCCGGTGGCCGGGGAGCAGCCGGGGATCGAACCGGCGCTGCAGAGGCCGCGGGCAGCTTCGCAACCCAGCGCTCAACCGCTGCGCCACCGGGGAGGCCCCAGAAAGTATTTTTTAAATGGGCACTGTGTTAAGCCCCAGAAATACAAAATAGAAATGTGGCCTCTGCCCTCATGGAGGGAAGTCACACATTTGGCAAGTAAATACAACAAAAAGTTTCTGATAACGGAAGCCCAAGGGGCAATGAGAAGACAGATGCCTTCCAGCAGCAGTCTGGGCACCAGTAGCATCTATGAGAAAGCGACCATTAACTTGAGACCTGGAGAATATCAAGGGTGAGCTGGACAAAGAAAAATTAGTGGTTTCTAATCTTGAGTTATGAAACTTCAAAATCTGATAACCAGAGAAAAACAAAGACCCTACAGCTTGGAAATAGGCTGAGTCCCTCATGTCCATTCATATCACAATGTATGAATGACTCTGATATTAAGTACAACTTGAGTTTGCTAAGGTGGCACATTATTTATTGAAATTAGAATGCAGTTTCGGGTAATATTCTAATTGAGACTTTCTTCTCAGGCACAATTAAGAACTTTGGTGATTCCAAGTAATCAGAAACTACCCTTTGAGAAGTCTATGATCCCTAAGTAAGTCAAAATATAAATAGAGCCTTCATTTAGTTAGGATTGTGTTTGTTTGAGGACACAGCATAATTGATTGAAACACATAATAAGTAAAATGTTTAAGGAGTGATTTGGGGATGGGTGTCTTCACTAGTGTCATTTTCTGGTTAAACCAGATATTTCACCAAAAAGTTGTTTTCACCCTTTCTTTGCTTGAACCAAATTGAAACTACTGTAGAAATTATAATTTCCTTTCTACCTTCACAGGAATTGTATAAAAAATAACATAGGAAATTCCTTTGATAACCCAAGCAGAACTAAGTACAAAAATTCTCCATATTGGTGACATAGCTAATTTTGAAGGTTTCAGATATTACATATAACCTGACCTGTGCCGAGGATAGTCACTGCTACTTTTTTTTTTTTCTTTATTTAATAATATATTTTATTTTATATAATTCTTACATCATTTTTCATTTTTGCACAATGTATGCATTTTCATTTTTTTTTTATGGGCTCTTATTTTTTTATTTTTTTAATTAAATTTACCAATGTAACCATTTTTATGTATACAGTTTTTTTTTTTTTTTTTTTTTTTACTGTCATCAGTTTTGTTACCATTTACTCCTTTGTTATTAAGATCAAATTTATCAGAGGCAAAATGCAGTCAGAATTTTGATTAGTTGAATTTCAGGGTTTTTTTCTTCTTCTTCTTCTTCTTCTGTATTTATGAGACAGGGGGAAAGGACTCAGTTTTTACTTTGTTAAAAAAACTCAAAATTAGAGCTCACCCTGGATAAAGCACCAATGCAATAGACTTGTCTTGCATAGAGGGTTGAAGTATAGACATAGTCACCCTTACATATGACCAATCCCCAAACTTATATGTGATCTAATGGCAATATTTAGTTCTCTCCCTCCCCTCTCCCACCCTCATGTTCAGAACAATAATGTGGAAAAATAATTAGGCCTTTTTGTAACCCTTTATGGGCCAGCAGTAGACGTTATGCTTCCTTTTGTGATTTTGGGCCCATTTGATCCAAGCATCACAACCATGGAATGGGAGCTGTTCTGGGAAGACAGGGTCATGGAGGAAGTGGGAATTTGAGCTCGAAGATTCCAGCACTAATAGCATTTACCTACACTGACTGTATACTTTAAAAGAAAAAAAAACAAAACACTTATATCACAATAAAAGTAATTCTAAATAATTTTTATGGACTTTCATGGAAAACTGATCTTTTTACAGTCAGCATTTCTGAGCAGGATTATTGTACATGAAGGAGACTTTTGAAATGTGTTACCCCAGTTTATATATCTTACAAGTTTTGTACTTTAAATAAAGCCCCCAATCTAAGAATCATTACTTAGTTTTATTTTAAATAAATAATTCTTATTTCTTTGAAGATAAGACAAAGGATTGAACCTATCCTACAATCACGTCCCCTCTATTGGTCACTGTTGTTTTTTTTTTTTTTGAGTGTAATGAAATAAAACATAACCACTTCTTAAAACTCCTAGTATATAGATAAGTAGGTGGAATTGTCCACATTGAAATAATACTTTAAAATGATTTTTATTATGGCCATTGTAGTAAATAGTGTTTGTTGAAGGAAAGGAATAAAGAAAAGAAAGAAGGGGAGGCAGGAAAATAGTGAGAAAGAAAATATATGGCTATATATTTGTTAAACAGTAGTGTAGATCTTAAGCTACTCAGTCATACAAATACCGCTACTTTGTTTGCCCAAAATGGGTAATAAAGGGGTTTTTTGGGGTTTTTTGTTTTTGGGGGGGTTTTTTGGTCACAATGAGACTTCCAATGGCAATTGAATAAAGTTATCTGGCTGGAATGGCCATAATTTTGATAGCAAATTAAAAATCATCTTGGAAATATTTTTGAGAAGTAGAAATCATGAACTCTGTGTAGTGATTTTCCCTCAGAGTTTAAAGATTTGTCAGTCCTTGCAAATTAAGCAATTTAAACTAGTATGGAAATGTTTTGGACTCTTATTCAGTGAGTCTATTCACTTCTTAACATTGCTGAAAGGTTCTTAGAAACTGCATCTTGCAGCAAAATGATCTATAATAAAAGCAGATCCTTGAAGGTTGCTGTTGCACTCAATGTCAGCTAGTATGATTTCTTCTTATCGTTATAAGGAAATGACATTGGAAGAAATAACCTTATTCCGGGACCTGCTATACAACTTGGTCTAAAGTCCTCTCCACGGTCTTAGCCACCAGGAAAAAGTGGACATGATCAAAACACTTTCCCTAAAACTAAAAAGGTATAAGCAGTACATTGCCCTAAGTTTTGCTCTTAAGGAGTAGATTGCCAATCAAGAAGAGTTGTTATTTTGTTTCTGAAAACTGGAATATTCTTTCCTAAATTCCTTCTGTTTTCAGACTATACATATTCTGATGCTGGAATAAAACTTTTTCTTTAAAATGAAGCTATTATCTTGATATCTATGAAAATAACACTAAGTAAAATGAGCTTGAGAAGCACAGGGCCAGCCATCTCAACTCACTTGGCAATGGTAAGATCGCCAGATTGACAGGGGCTGCCTTCGAGAGACCTTCTGTATTTTGAATGTATAAAGATGCAGTCCTCTTCACCATGCCTTAGGCAATTAACTGATGTGTTTTCTTGCTTCTGCCAATCAGAATGAAGAATCTCCATTTAACAGGTTCCTATACTGCACACAGTAATATCCCTACAGGTTAGTGTTCTTTTGGAATAATTGACATATACTTAGTCTCAAAGATATGAGAATAGGAGCTTAGTCTCTCAGATAATTTATATATATATATATTTGTTTAAATATTTATATTATTTATTCATACAAGCACTGGGTACAGTCAGAAACGCGGGAGGGTGAGAGAATTCACCAGCGCCAGAGCAGGGAGCAGAACAGGCAGACAGATGGAGGACACTGCTGAGGGGAGCAGCGGGTGGCAGGAAAGGTCTGTGTGCCATGTGGTTCCCTCGCCTGGCAGCCGGGGATCGAACCGGCGCTGCAGAGGCTGCAGGCAGCTTTGCAACCCGGCGCTCAACCGCTGCACCACCAGGGAGGCCCAATAATTTATATATTTTCTGAACAAATTCCCATTCTCTAACACTTTCTTTTTTTCATTCTGCTTATTGATATCTGTTCTGATTGGTTCACTGTCCTCCCTTTTCTCCAGTCTCACCTGTTCCCACTTGAGGCTTCACTTGTCTTTTTCCTTGTCTTATTCCTTCCCATATCTAGAGCACATGACTGTGCTCCATTCTTCATAAAGAATCCCATAATACACTTGGGGGAGGATTTCCATGTAGATAGGGCACAAAGTTAGACAAAAGTCCCTTCTCAGGCCGTTCTGGTCACGCCAATTGAGATGGGGTGGGTACCATATCCTCATTCCCCTGGAGTGACCTCTCCAAGGTTCTACCCACAAGCTCCTGAAGATACCTGCTCCTCCAGGAAGAAGCCTAATGCTATTCTTATGTTCACTTGCTGTTAGCAGAAAAAAAGAATAACAGAGCAGCTCTTGCTTCAGCTTTAGCATTGACCTAACTCCCATCTTGTAGAGAGACCAGCCCTGCGCTGGTGAAAGTGGTAGTAAGTCATTCTGTAGGGTAAATTATAATTCAAGGGTTTGGTGCAGTAGAAGCTGTCACTTTTGTGTCTGTCTTCTCCTAAGTTCACATCTTGACTGAAGCCACATTCAATTTTTCTTTCTTTCGATACGCATAATAAAATCAAAATCACATTCTTTTTTTTTAATAAATTTTATTTTTATATTCCCCATACAATTGCAACCCCCTTATTTTGACCCCAATCCCTCCCTTCCCTGCCCCCTACCCCCCATAGAGTGTCTCTGGTTCATAGTTTTTTTGTTGATTTTGATTTTTACTTTCTTATAGTTATTCATTTTTCTGGTCCCTTATTTAAGTTTTCTAGATTCCTGCTATGAGTGAGACCATCCGGTATTTATCTTTTTTTTTTTTAAATAATAAATTTTATATTCCCCATACAATTGCAACCCCCCCCATTCTGATCCCAATCACTCCCCTCCCGCCCCCACCCCCCCAAAAGTATCTCTGTTTCATAGTTTTTTGTTGATTCTGATTTTCACTTTCTCAAAATCACATTCTTGATGGGAAAGGCAACCTGGGAGGTTGCAGGGAATCTAGAACCAGAAGTAAAATAAGACTTCAGGAAAAAAAATTTGAGGATAGGACTGTCTCAAAGGGGTGCCAGAGAAAACCAGAGACTCAGGTTAAGAGTGAAGTTTGAAGATGTCCATTCTAATGGGGTGAGAGGCAGCTGCCACAGTGAAGCCCTCCTTATGTAGCCAAAAACATGGACCTACCTCATGGCTCACATTTAGCCAAAGTGGACCATAACACCTACTGCTAAAAGCATCCGCCCAACAAAATCTCCCCCTTTGCTATTTTCTGGTCTGCAAACACCTCCTTATTTTAGAAGCCAAGAGAACATAGTGGGGGGACAGGAAAGGGAGGAAGGCATATGCAGTTGGTTTCAGGGTTCTCCCTATCAACCACACACTCATCGAGTTTCCCTTGGACCAGTATTAACACACACGCACTATTACATGCCCATCCTCAATAAAAATGTTTATTTTTTGATCCTAAAAGACAGTATAAAAAGATGTCTTTTACTGGTTGGTTAGCTCTGGGAGCATACTTTGATTACAAATATAAAACCTGGACTTCGTGTACCTAAGAACAGCACCTTACGTTCTTGGCCAGGTCTGATTGCTGCCCATAAAGTCCATCTCAGGGAAACAGTCTTGGAGGAGAGCAAACTTCAGGGAATTGAAGATTGGTAGATCTACTGTGATTCCAGCTGTGACCCTTCTTGTTTATGCTCTGAGGTCATGGAAAAAGCACTTGCCTAGTAGCAGAGAGACATGGGTGTAAAGTCTAGTCTTCTGTACAGACCGCAAATTGTTTAAATTCTCTGAGCTTCCATGTTCTCACCTGTAAACCCAGAGCCATATTTTACTCCATGAGCCAGATCCTTGACACAGTCCTTTGCCTTTAAAAAACCCAGAAGAACTGTCAACACTGGTGCTAGCCCGCTGCTTTATACCATTGAGACACGTCCCGCTGCAGCCCTGTGGCTTCTTGCCAAAATTGCTTCCCACCCTTGTGGTGTGGCCTGCGGACTTGCCACAAACACCAAGCAGCTGACTCACCCCAGCAAGTGCTGCTGCCAATGATCGTCTAACTCACTGTGCTGGTCACCACAGTGATTTCTAGTATTTTTCTGGGTTAAGCTAAACTTTATATATTGTCAGTAATTATTCGTGAGGACTATGTAAATGAAAAGAGTTTATCATTGTGGGTGAGTGGAATTTCTCCTGGACTTGTTTGACTCTGGTATTGAGTTCAGAGTCCTGTGACACTCACAGGTTCTGAGTCTCACTAAACATTCGTATAATACTAACCACCTGACTTGGTCCTACCACTTAGCACAGTGGCATGAAATGGTCCAAAGTGCACTAGGTCAGGATGAAGGAGAGATGGTTATTCCTTGGTCCAGCAGTTCCTATGGTGCTGGGCCTCTGCTTCCTCTATGGTACAGTGATGAAGCCAGACGCTAGGTTGTAACCTTGTGGTGCTATCTCTGAATTCACTTTCAGTTGGACTGATGAGCTTATGCTAGGGAATTCAGGACTTCAGATCCCTTAGTCATTCAGTGGCTTCTAGTGGGAATATGCTATTTCATTCTCCAACTCTTTCAAGCAATGGGTCTTCTGAAAAAGTAGAATATTAACCAACTTTTTGTCCATAAAACCATATTCAAAGAGGAGGTCAGAATAACAAAGATGTTAAGGGCCCCTAAAATAAATTATTTCATAAAATGAAGGTTCCTTTTAAATGTAAGTACTTTTTCTCCTGTAGTCCTTTTGTGAGATCATGTTTGTTTCAAAAGCATGAACAATATACCTATCCCTGAAAAGTCTCCCAAGAATTTTCTTTTCCCTTTGACTCACATTACCATTCCAGACACATTTTATTTTTATTTGAAGTTTAATTAATAGTGACTCCTAATACTTGAGATGTTTCTAGGTACTCCTTTTTGGCCTCCTTGACAAGATTTGTAAATGCTCAAATGCTGTGGGGGGTAAGATGGCTCATTGGGTCACCTCAGGGTGGCAGCAGTGGGAGCTGTGCAGGGTGAGAGAGATCACTCAAAGTCCATGTGGGGCAGTGAGAAGCCTGGAGAGCTACACAGGGATGTAATGTACAGCCCCCATCCAAAGGCAGTGTCATATTTGTTAGCATCGAGAACAGAGGTGGGGCAAGAACACAGGGAGTGTGCATGGGGCAGAGGGTGGGGGGGAAGGTAGAAAAGTTACTGGGGATTTAAGCTAGGGTGGAGTGACCAGGGCCTATTGCCTGGGGGCTCCGTTGTTGCTGCTGGTCAAAGCATATTATCTCTATTCTAACATCTGCCTGCTGGTTTCCCAGTATGTTCCTCATACCAGGACATTTGCCCTTGGTGAGAGAGCTGATAAGCAGGAACTCTGGGCACCAAGACAATATGCCCAAGAATAAGGCGTGCTGGGGAACCTATGCTATTGTAAGGAATTTTTATGTGCATTTTGAATCTGTTTTAAATTGAGGTCTTGGGTAATGTTTGGTTGCTTTGAATTTCTTTAAAAGTAGAATATAAGCAGCCGTTGCCCAGCTTCCTTTCTTGTACTGTTCTCCAGACAACATCCACTACAGGCTGCCCATTATGGGCCCCAGGCTCGCTGTCTTCCATGGAATGCTGTCAAATGCCTACAAAACTCTACAGGAGTCAGAAGTCTCTTCTGTGCCAAAAAAGCAGCCAGTGGGCAAGATGAGGAGGTGGTAAATGCTTGGAGCCCATCCCACCCTAGTTGCCCAGAGAGAATACACCCTCACCAAGCCAGTGCCTTCACATCATTTGCTCCATCCAAAAAGATGGTTCAATTTTGTCTTCCTTAGAGTTGCTAAAATTCAAGCTCTTTCTGCTCTATTCTCATTCCTCCTAGAGACAAAGTGATGATGTTATAAAGACTGATTGAAACACAACATGTTGAATGTCATTAATTTTATTCTGTTAAGTATTCTTAATTGTATTACAGCAGATAACATCCTTCTGTTTCTAACACAAGCATTTTCTGGGAAAAATGATTTCAGTTCTTCCTTCAGGGCAGGAAACCAGAGATGGTGCCAGGAGATATCTCATGAGTTCAGCCTGCTAAGAGTAAAGAAGAGAGATGGAAGACACCCCTTGGTCCTTTTTTCTGTCATTTAACTCTGGTAGATGACAGAGGACACTGATGCAATAACTGGAAAAAGGCAAGTGATTGGCTGTTGCTATCCTTGAGGACGGGAACTGTCCCTTGTTCTGCCCTCCTCATGTGACCTCCTGTGGTGTCTTGTGTAGCTCAGATGTTTATCTAATCTTTGCTCAATTAAATCCAAACCAAATATTTGTATTTGGTAGTTTGGTTGCTTTGATTTGAGGATGTATATTTCCAGTTCTTTCCTGACCCACGTGTGAGCAGAGAGGGAAACAAAAGAAAACTTTGGGCTTGCAAATATTATTTTTATAGGCACATATGCTCATGCCCAACTTCAGAAGAACATTATAAAAAAAAAAAAGGCCCCTTCAGATTAGACTAAGAGAAATAAGTCAGAGGAGAAAGACAAATACCAGAGATGTCACTTATATGTGGAATATAGATAAACTAAACAAAGGGTCAGATAATGCCAAGCTAATAACAAACTCTAGAAATCTGACTGTAAAGCTGAGGCTACCAGAGGGGGAATGGAACAGGGGAGAACAAATTAGGGAGGGAGCACAGTGGACTCTGGTGGAGGACTGTGGGTGCTGTGGTGGTGGATGTGGTGTGGTAACAGTACCTAAAGGGGGGAACCCTATACTTCTAAAACATTCAGTGTTATAAACCAATATTGCCTCTATTTCAAAAAAGAAGGCTCCTTCTCATTCTAATAAGGCAATGAATGGCCTTATCCCATGATCCTGAATAAGTGGATACTAGTCTGACTTGAGACCCCACCTGTGCGCTGACTGTATTTGAAGAATGAATTTGAGAAAACTCTGCTCAGTGACCTAGTGCCTAAATTAGCTTCATTTCTTGCACACGCACACATGTACACACACACACACACATACACCCAGAAATGCTTGACTGCCCTGTATTTCTGGTTGGTTATGATTCTTTTTTTTTTTTTTTAAGATTTTTTTTTTTTTTTATACAAGCACTGGGTACAGTCAGAAGTGCGGGAGGGTGAGAGAATTCACCAGAGCCAGAGCAGGGAGCAGAGCAGGCAGAAGGACCGAAGTACACTGCTGAGGGGAGCAGCAGGTGGCAGGAGAGGTCTGCGCGCCATGTGGGACCCTCCTCCAGTGGCCAGGGAGCATCCGGGATCGAACTGGCGCTGCAGAGGCTGCGGGCAGCTTTGCAACCCAGCGCTCAACTGCTGCACCACCAGGGAGGCCCTGGTTATGATTCTTAGTTTCAGTCTCATTAGGGTTCAAAAACTCCAAGAACAGTACATAGTTCCTCTAAGGGTGAAAGACTGTACGCATGAATTACGGCCCTATTTCACATAATTATCAAAATAAAGACAAATCACCAATAAAAATACTTCCTTTCCTTGAAAATTGATATATGTAGTAAAAGCACTTGGGGCACCTATCCCCATATAATAGGTGGGGGCTTTCATGTGTCAAGTATAACCACAGTTTCTGAGGCAATCTGAATATTATGTACCTAGTCAGAATGAACACTTCCTAAATCTCGTTCGAAGTCTACTCTAGAATATAAGGGTATTTCCAAAATGTCATCAAGAAAGAACAGTTTTCTGCTGCTTGCTAGTATCCGAGCATAGTAACTGTGAATGATGATCTATATCAGTGATTCTTTGTTTTTAAAGATTTATTTATTATTTATGCATGTAAGAACTGGGGTATAGGCCAGAAGTGTGGGGGTGAGGGGAGTGAGAAGATTCACCAGAAACAGAGTGGGGAGCGGAGCAGGCAGATAAACTGAAATACACTGCTGAGGGGAGCAGCAAGTGAGACAGGAGAGGTCTGCCTTACCATGTTGGATCCCTGGTCGGGATTCAACTTGTGCTGCAGTGGCTACTGATAGCTTTGTAGTACTGAGACTTAACCATTTGTAACACCAGGGAGGTCCCTTTATCAGTGATTCTTAAACTTGTTGATCTTAGAAACTTTTCAACTCAAATATTGAAAGTCCTAGGAACTTTTAAAAATATGAGTTCTAACAATAGGAAGTAATCCTATTAAAAAAGAGAATTTTTAAAAGCACAAGAACGTCCAAGCATATCTTCCAACAGCTGTCAGAAGGAGGACATTATCACATGCCATGTAACCTCTGGGAATCTCTATGTACCCTTAAGAAAAGAAAGACTTTAATATCTTAGTATTACTATGAAAATAATTTTGATCTCACAGATAACCCAAAAAGGATTTTAGACATTACCAGGGTTCCCTTGACCATACTTTGGGAAATTCTGGTATGAATGATATACCCTTGCATCCCTGATATTCAGGGGGAGGGAGGGGTGCCAGGATTCTTTAACTCACCTCCTGAGTGTGTGGCCCCTTGACAGAGGTAGCAGGCAGAAGGCAGGAGTAGGTTTTCAAAGTCTGATGATATCAGTTCCCTTTGCTTACATTGTCTACTTGACAATCTTCATTTTTTCTCAGTAGTTTCTGGTGTAAGAGAGTGGGTTGACCAGTTGGCCTAAGAACTCTAGTTCCCTTTGAGCTCTTATTTCTCTGCAGGGTGGGTTGCATGTTTATTTGCCTTTGGTTTGTATGCAGCCATTTCCTTGAATCTGAGAGCAAATCCTGGATGTGTGGCTTTAGCTCACTAGCCGTGGCTCAACAGCAGCCTTGCTGAACAGTTAGGTAGCTGGCAAATTTCCTTTTTACTTACCCCTGTAATCAAATCCTAGAGAGAAATCATACTGGGGGCAAAATGTCCTAAATCAGAAAGTCCAGCTTTTTAACAAAATTCTGAATATAACCAACCATTCTGATGCCATGATTTCAAGTTAAACTTGGAAAGAGGTCTTTGAGGATGCTGATTTTTCTTTATGAGTAGAAATGTTTAAAAGAAACAATCTTTTCCAAGGTAATAAGGTTTTAATAAATGTCTCATCTCTCTTATAAAAAATTAAATATATGAAAGAAATAATCTTATGCACACTAAGCTTTGCTTCTTTTTATACTGAGGGGATCAAATTGTTGACTCTTCCATCCTTCTGGGTGCAATCTTTTTCAGTACTGAGTTGGATTCTTAGAGGTAATAGTTTGGACTTGTAAATTATTATTTTACCTGCAACATGTTTCAAACCTTCATCTAAAAACCTCTCATAAATAGGTCAGGACAATTTCTTCACTATAAAAATCTACTACAAAAAAGATCTAATCATAATATTATTCAAAGTCCTATATAGTTCAGATTAATTTTTCAAATGGACAATCTTGGGTAGTTTTTTTTTTATTTGTTTCAAGCTTGCTTTTGCTCTTTTAAATATGAATGACTCCTGTTGTAATAAAAGTCCACAGAAATGAGTAAGACCAGCTCCAACTCTTGGGATGAGTCTTGCCTCATCCCAACAGAAATCTTAGAAGCCAATCAAGCAGCACAATTCCTTTATGACCAGGAGTGAAGAGAAATGCTATATGTAGAAAAATCCATGGTATGATTAAAAAAAAAAAACAAAATCAAGTTGTAACACAAGGCCATTGTCATCTCCAGTCCCAGGTTTAACCTTGAAAAATCTTTAGCCTTCCCTGCCATGTGCCCTGCTCAGGGCCACTCTCCATGTGCCTAAACTATGTAAGCTCAGGGGAAGCTATGGTTCCTGGGCTTTGTAGTATTACACATCAGAGCTGCCCCTCTTCCTTCAGAATATGTAACAGAAACATGAGACTGCAAGCAGCATTAGCGTAACAGGCTTGGCAAAACTGCCTTATCTTCTCCTAAGGAAAGTCCTATTTGGGTGTAGTTACCATTGGGGGCGGTCTTAGGAACAAGGAAAGTATTGCACAACAGGATACAGAAGATTTCCAAGAATCCAAGACCAGAGTCTTTTTTTTTTTTTCCAAATGTGAAGCTCTTTAATAGGATTAGTGTGCATAGAGAGAGAAGGAAGGATAATAGTTTTCCAATAAAATGCCCAAAGTTACCCACTCCTTGTGGGTAAATACCAAGCCAAACACAGGATTAAAATCTTAAGAATCAAAATTAAATAAGTTAGAAAATTCAGGACTAGATAAAATTTAACTTATCTCTAGAGGAACCTGGAATAATCAGTCCTGTTTCAATTATGACCCCTCAAACCCTTCTTAATTTAACACTTTATTAAGTATTGCTCCTCTTTCATTTAAGTGGTTTTGGCTCTCTAGAAAAATGTAGAAGCTACTGGGGATGAGGTCAATATTTTTTGCTGACAGCACATCCCCATGGGAGCTACCAAAGCACAGACATGAGGGATACTTGGATGAAAACTCTATTCCTAGCTTGCTAAACAATATGAGAAAATAAGAATTGAGATCCATGAATTTGAGGCTGTAAGGACATAAGGGTTTGGGGACTAGGACCCTGGCTTTGAGGTACTTCTCACTTCAATTGGAGAGATCACACACACACACACACACACACACACACACACACAAGCACACGCACACACACAGAGGCTCACACAAATGAAGAGCATGTGTATACATCAGGCTGCTAAAAGTATAGGTTATTCTCTACTGTAAACCTCTACTTATTCTTTCTGCAAGCTTTTTTCTCTGCTTATTCTCTACTGTAAGCCTCTCTCTATTCTATACTGTGAGCCCCCAGCAGTGACTGCATCAGTGCCCTCTGTGGCAGTCACATCCAGCTCTGCACAGGAACCAAGAGTCAGTGGTGTGGTCTTGTCAGGAAAGTTGGTCAGAGGAGAAACGGCCGTATTCATCCACACAGGATATTACCTCTTGTTCTTTCGGTCTTTGGTAAGACATTTTACTGACTGGCCAGTGAAGTGCAGAAGAATGAACTTAAGCATTGGTGGGTATTTACTGTTTTGAGGAAAACTTGTTCCTCAACACTCTTGGGATTGACTTCCTCTCTGTCCTGTGTATCAGATCATTCTGTGGGATTTCAGATGACCCTTCCTTCCTAGACTTCATATTGAGAAGATTGCATAAAGAGTAAAACGTGCATAAAACCACAAGAAAGGATATTGGTAACAGTTGGCTTTAAGGAGTGGAACTGAATGACTGGAAGACAGAAATTGGCAGAGGGAGGTTTTTTCAGAGCATGCCTTTGAATCATAAACCACAAGATGAAGAAAACCCTGTTAACATTGCCAGGGGGCTTTCTAGCTGAGGATTTGGAAAGCTGATAAACTATCACTATAATTACT